TCCGCCTCTTGGTGCTGGGTCAACCCATGTATTCCAAAACCAGTTCTAACTATTATGTGATATCCCGCCATATACTTAAACTTCTACCACCCCCCCCCTCCCTAACCAAAAAAAACGGGATTATACAATGTTTTGGACAAAAATTTTAAACTTTTTATTTTTCGTATTTTATAAGACTTGAAAAAATGAAATGTAATTTTAAAAAATTAAAAAGTTTTTTTGTTACATTAAAATTTTTGATGAATTTTTATAAAATTTTGTTTAACAATAAAAAATAATTTTAAGCTGCATTTAGTAAAAATAAGTCGCAATCAAAACAGCTTAAACTACATCAGGCTAATTTTTACTAAAAACGCGCCTAAACAAGATCCGCCTCTAACAGCTTATATGATATGGAGGGAGGAGAGGGGGAGAATACAGGGAAGGGGAGGTCTCTAATAAATTTAACATCTGGTTGAGATTATAGCTTCACGACATAGATAGAAAGATAAGACAATAGACAGGAAGATAGTAACACATTCTTTACCTCTCTTTCGTAGGACACTCCCCCCATAAACTCAAACTTCAAACTGTGGGAAAAAAAAATATCTCAAATAGGCATATTTTTAGTCTCATTCTAGCTTGTTTTCTGAATGACCCCATGCTGGGGATCATATCCGCTCTCTGAAATTTGCTACATTAAACAAAAGAGCGCCTACGTTAGTCACAAGGACTGTCCTAGTCTCTTTTTTAGTCTCAGATGGTCCACTCTGGTGATTCCATGATTTTATTGCAAACATTGGCTGCTGATAACTCTTATTTCCACTCCTGGTTGTAGACGTATTTCCTATCCAGGTTCGGGTTTAGTAGTCTCCAAACACTTCAAGTTTTCTAGAAACTTTCAACCACTTCTAATCCCCAACCTTCTCATCCAGGTTGTTCTCCACATAGGTCAGTATTTGTTCTTTATAGAACCTGATCACTTGTTCAACAGGAACATATGGCAATGCATACATTTTGTACAGAATCTCTTGGAACTTGGCATTCTGACAAAAGAAACTTTCAAGACCCTTGTCTTTGACCTGATTCCATTTTGCAGTGATAACAGATTGTTTAAAGTCTGTGATATTTGTTGTAAGGTTGGTTGCTCCTTGTTAGGAAGTAGGGCTCACCCACACGGTAAACCCTGACGCTTTCTTATTTCTGACACAGGGTGCTATGGAAACGCCTTAACACAGAAACGTCTCAATGCGGAAATGCCTCAAAACCAGTTTTGAGGAATTTCCATTTTATTTTGGGAAATTCCTCAAAACTGGAAAATGTTGAGGGATTTCGGAATATTTTTGAAACGTTTCCTAATATATAAAGTTGAGGTGTTTCCTCTTTTTTTTGAGGTGTTTCCGCTTTTTTTTGAGGCGTTGAAAATTTTTTTCAAAATACGGAAACGCCTCAAAAAAACGGAAACGCCTCAAAAAAACGGTAATGCCTCAAAAAAACGAGGAAATGCCTCAACAAAATAAAGTTTAAAAAGTTTATTCAAAAAACGGAAACGCCTCAAAAAAAAGAGGAAACGCCTCAACAAAATAAAGTTCTAAAAGTTTTTTTAAAACCGGAAATGCCTCAAAATAACGGAAACACCTCAAAAAAAAGAGGAAATGCCTCAACAAAATAAAGTTCTGAAAGTTTTTTAAAAAAACGGAAACGCCTTAAAAAAAAGGGAAATGCCTCAAAAAAAAGAGGAAACACCTCAACAAAATAAAGATTTAAAAGATTTTTGAAAAAACGGAAACACCTCAAAACAAGCGGAAACGCCTCAAAAAAAAGAGGAAACACCTCAACTAAATCAAGTTTTTAAAAATACTGAAACACCTCAAAAATTTTAGGAAATGCCTCAAAATAAAGAGGAAACCCCTCAAAAACTGGGTTTTGAGGGATTTCCGTTTTTCTTGCAGAAATTGCAGCAACAGTTTTTGAGGGGTTTCCGCTTTTTTTTAGGCATTTCCGTGTTGAGGCGTTTCCATAGCACCTGACACAGCCATGATCATAAATCCTACACATATATAGCAATTGATTATTTGATTATATTGTGTATAATTATATTTAGACTTGATGTTTATTTCACCTGTGAAAATGGTTTGGGTGCTGAGTTGAAAGTCCCATCCATTAACCACATTGAATGAGTTTTAAAAAGCTGTGATCCCCCTTCACTTAGAAATAACAAACAAGAATCTGTTTCTTCTTCATTTGTCCATGATTACAGAACGAGAAACTCTGCACCATCAGCAGTTTTTGACAACTGATCTGGTATCTGTTCTTCCATGATATCAAGATGAGATTCTGGAATCTTTGGACTGAGATTATTCTTCTGTTTCTTTCTGCAGAGGCCCATTTTTACATCACCAATAAAAGACCTGGACTTGAGGAGTCAAGGATGTAGGTGCTAATTTGCTGCAATACTGCGTGTGTGGTAGCTGCTGGAACACTAACCAGGTAGTCAAGGACACCAAGCTCATGTTTTTTAGCCTTCTTGTTCAAGAGCTGATTACCATGATCATGCAGGGGAATTGATTGTCTTACAAGTTGAAGTTTTTGTAATTTTGCAGATATTCATTAAAAATATCTCCATTCTTTGAGTTTACAATTATACAAAAAATTACTATAGATGTTACCTATACAAAATGTTACCCATACCAAACGTTATCTATACAAATAGGTAACCTATGCAAAATGTTACCTGGACAAAGTGTGCTAGACAAAATGTTACTCTACAACAATGTACTATAGAAAAGGTCACTGATCCCAGCCTGGTGTGCCTCTGCAAGAAATGTAAAACATTTCTTTTCTTCAAATTATAAAATCAATCACAAAAATATCAGTATTTATTTTTAACTTTTATCACAATTTATCAAAAAAAGTATTACAGGTGACTGTGGGTCAATTTGGACTAGGTGTCCAAATCCATGTAAAAACCTAATTAATATTTAGCTTATTTCATAAAATTGTTTTTGATGACAAATCTCTGTTTTATCTTGTCAATTCCTCAGTCTCATCTCCGACATCTAGAAGGAAAAAGTTAATGCTTTTGATATGCATGAAAATATATAAGAATATAAATCTAAGAAAGAATGGGAGGAGAAAAGATAAAGAAATATAAGTATATGTACATGAAATATGCACAATAGCAGATAGATAGAAAGATTTAGATAATTTTAAAGAAAAACTGCATAATTTCTGGTAAAGATATAACTTCTCCTTTCTTTAACAAAACTTTAAGAGAAGTTCAGCATCAGTGTGCTGCAGTAAATCCATGCTTGTGGGTCATTTGCAAACAGGAAAGCATATGAATGCAGCATGTCTATTACGCCTTGTTTGATTGTTATGTCATGCAGAAAAATCAGTTGCAGACCCTGACAATGTACTTGCCTTTATACTCTTCAAGAAACGCTTCAAACTTGCCTCCTGGCCATTCATGAATTGGCTCAGCATCTTCGGGTGCATACATGTTACATCTCTCTCTCCAACATTTAATTTCTCCAGGACATTCTTCATGTGCTTTGCAGGAAACTATACAAATAAAACTTTGTCATGCCAGAAGGATCTAATTAAGGTCAGTTGAGAGATGATAATTTTGTTGCATACTATGTCAAGAATTGTCAATCCCACACTGTGAGACTGTATATTTGTATTGTGTAGCTAGAGGAATTATAAAAAAATACTGTTTAGAATTGAATTGTTTACTTGTTGATAGGAAACAATCCAAAACTTATCAAAAAAATATTTAAATATAATAAATTTTCTATTTTTTGTATCATTAATAGATGGTTGCCCTTTTTATTATATTTTAATTCTCTGTTTAAAGATACTAAAAAATGCAATACCACTGTCACCCAATTCTAAGGTTTATTGTTGGTCTGTAAACATACTTTATATTTCTTACCTACTTCTCAAAAGCAACTTTACAAACCATATTTGATCTATAATGTAGAAGACAATGCCACCCCCTTGGGATAAGTTAAAAAATGAATAAAAGATTTCATGAATTGGAGAAAGGCCACTGAACTGCTAGGGTTTCCAAAGAAATTTTAACTAAACAAAATTTGCAAAATTTCCAAAAAGTGAGGAACGACATTTTGTGAATTTTGATGTATTTTCATCATATATTGATAAAATTTTGTACAATAAAATTAGTTTTCTTTCCATTTTGAATCATAATGTGCGCTACTCACCAACATAATACTTTATTGACGACCTAAAACACTCTTTAAACAATGACAATCATAAGATGAAAGTTGTTTTTTGCCCTACATATAGTTTGTGAGTATATATTCACTGATTTATGAACAACAAAAATTAAATTTATGCAGATGCAGGGAACATTCAATTATTAAGAAAAGATGCAGAAATTTCTGACTGTCTCTTACATCTCATCTTTTAAGGATAACCATGCAATAAAGTATGACTGGTTTCATGTTCATAAATATTGTCGAATACCAGGTGTTCAGCTGAACATAACAACTTAAAGTTGAGTATCACATTTGATGAGAAACCAAGGTAAAATATTCTTCTAGCAGTTTCATACTTAAACTTGGTTTATATTACTCTGTAACAACTGCTATGAGTAAGGGATATTATATAATTGGCAAATTTACTTGTACTTTGACTTCAATCTAGGAGTTTTTACACCAACTTATTTTGTAACTCTTCTACAAATATATGTTTTTTAACAAAAATATCTCCCAAAAACGAAATTTTGCAAAAACACTGGATTTTCAACAAAAGTTCTGAATTTTTACAAAAAAACTAGGATTTTTAAAGAAAGTGCAGTAAAATTTGTGTTGGTCGAATGAAATTTTTGCAAAAGAGATTGAACAAATATTTGGAAACACTATGAACTATCCACTGCTGCTTGGTTTAAAGATTATCTGAAGTGCTGAAAGTATCAAATCCTGAATCACTGATTCAAAGTTCAAGTAAAGGATACATAATTTAACCTCTTCTACATAGTTCCTGCAATTCAATATGATTGTCCCAAGAAAATTTTGTAAGGTTGAAATACATATCTAACATAAAAGTATCTTACTATCTTCACAGTGGTCCACTTCACAATGCATATCTTCAGGACATTTTAATTCCCCAGTACGCTCAGCACAAGGAACCTCTAGTTTAAAACAAACTTAAAACTTAAACTGATATCCAGGGATATATATTTAAAAAATGACAACAGTAAATGTTTTAAAAAATTTGGAAGGAAAAATGAAAATTGAACCAACTGTTTTTCCCCATTTCTGAAAATAAAAATTCATTTACTTTTTCTAAAAATCATTTATTCGGAAAAAATAGTTTTTTTAGGAGGGAGGGAGGTAATGATTTTAAGTAAAACTTATACCCCTGCAGATATCATCTCAACAGTCTTCTCTGATAGTCTTCAAAATACAAAGTTTGTCTTTTACAACAAATGTATTCTTTAAGTCAATTTCAGGATCTAAGCCATGCATAAAGTTTCCATATACATATGTATAAAAAAAGACATTTGTATAAATATGTGTTGCATATGGCTGGGACAACAGCTGGACCCCTTGAGCCGAAATTTTTTATAAACACTCATGGGTGTCCAGGGGGTGTCATAGGCTAAAAAATTCTAAACATATTTTTTCTTCATTTTTTTCCAGAAGCAACGCCAGGTCCTTCAGCTAGTATACACTTAAAGGCATACTTATCTGCAACATTGTTACAGCAGGGCAGGGTATGATCGTATTATTTATAATTTTTCACTTATTTACCTTTGACTTCCCATGGTGAACCTAGTGTTAAAAGAATCAAATGATTTTCAGCAGAATGAAATGTAATTCTGATACAGGGTGTTGAAAAAAAACCAAACACTTTACACTTGTAACCGGCTCCTGCTGTCAGAGTATTAAATGTTGTCAACAATAGTTCAATCAAAGTTTAGTTTAAACCTAAAAAGGTCCAGTTTTATAATGATTGGTCTATAATTGAGAGTAATTTACAAAGAAGGTTGCCAAGGAATGAATGTTAAAGCCTCTGTCAATTAAAGTGAGAAAACGTGTTGTGAGAAAAAGAAATCAAGAGACAAAGAGCACTAAGGAAATTAAGGACCAAATCCAATAATTGTTTAGCCATGTAGTCCTAACATCCTAGAGACATTGTGATACTGATTTCACTATGATGAGGTAATTTCAAGGCTTTGTTTTTTTCCAACACCTTTAATTTTTATTATCAGTCCCACTAATACATAAAAACACATAATTTGTCAAAAAATATTAAAATTAAGTAAAAAGATTTTAAAGTTTCAATGTATGGAATAAATTTATTCTGGAAGGAATCTTGAACTTTCATTCAATATTTATTCAATAAAAAGTTAACTAATCAAACAAAAAATCACACTGGCATTATGAATGTAGAAATCTTTTAGACAGACTAAATTAAAGGCAACTGAACATTATTTCTAAGGCAAGGATTTAAATAGTACTGCTAGGAATCATATAATTCATAAGTGGCACTGGTTTCATTAAAATAAGTTTCACTGATATTTACTTTATCCAACCAAAAAAGGGATATAATTTAGATAATTATTTATGAAAGATTACCAGCTATCATAACGCAATAATGTATCTTGCAATGATAAAATTCCGGACATGTGAAATTGCCTACACGTTCTGAACAAGGAACTAAATATTTTACCAAGTTACTTATACGTTAGTCCTAAAAGGTGTCTAAATAAACATAAAAATTGAGTTACAAAATTTTTTTTGATTTATGCTGCTTTTTCTGGAGAAAATAATGTTTACTAAAATTTTAGTTTAAAAAAAACAACATTGTAATTCAAAGAAGAGCCTATTCATTCAACGACCCATTTTGATAGTTTTTTTTCAATCATTAAAAACATTTGTTCTCAAAATTATTGTTCATTTTTTATCTATTTCATTCATATTCTCACTGAATGATCATTCAGTAAAATTGTTCATTCAATAAAATCATTCTATTTTGCATTCAACTTATTTACATATTTCACAGAACACCCTGCAAACTGGTTTAGTTAAATACTTTCTGTTATCACCAGAACCCCCTTTTTATATTTAAAGTTAATTTTTGAATTACCAGTGAGACTTTTTTGCAGTATTTTGAAAAGATTCTTTTTAAAATATCTAGGGAAAATATGGAACCCCATTAGGTAGCAGTCAACAATTTAATTTGTTTTTCATTTTAATTTTTTTTTTTTTTCATTTTTCATCCTTTTGTGTTTTATTATGTTGAATAGTCCAGTTTACTGGTTAAAATTCTATAAAAATTTACCGAAACAAATTTGGTCTGAGAATTATCTAACAGAAAGTATTGTATTGTTATGCTTATTATAGCAGTATGCTTTAATCTTTCTTGTATTCATCAATAAATAGCTTTTAATAAAAATCATTTAATTCTGTTTCTGTTTATATAAAATATTAGTATGGAATGGAATTTTACTAGTATTTGGTTTACCTTTGCTCTCCCAGGGTTCAGGATCTACAAAAAAATCTTTTTAAAAACTAAACATTTATAATTTCTATAGCAGGATGGAGGAAGAATCAGAGAATAAGAATAAAGGGAAGGGAAATGGTACTGGTCTGGCATGAGAAAGCCAGTCGCATTGCTTTGCAGGCAAGTTCAATTTTACACACACACTCTTTTGGTTCAGACACACAACATGACTACAGTCAAGGATATTGCAGAACAATGTCATCAATTATGATTAAGCTTGAATAATGAGTAGTTTATTTCAATCTTTAATTAAATTACATTCTTTACATGAAAATTTGGCTTAAAGTGTTGACTTAAATGTATAAATAATATATTACATGTATATTTAACTTATTTTCAATTAAACAATTAACAAGAAACAAATGTGCTCTCCTAAACAAATACCTAGATTCTTATGTACTTTTTATCCTACAGTACACACCTTTGGTATGGTATTACTTACACACACTCTTTTGGTACACACTCATACATGACGTTTCCGCCCCCAGTATGAGAAATGTGAATTGCATCAAATTAATAAAAGTGTCTTACTATATTCACAAAAGTCCTCTTTACAAGTTGTATCTTCCGGACATTTGAACTCGCCAATTCTCTCAGCACAAGGAATTTCTAATTTGAAATAAAATTAACCATATAAAAGTAAAAACACATTATTTCTTGAATTTACTTTTATAGATTATACTCAATAAAAATTACTCTCCAGCCTCAAATAATATGACCCTGAAACCAACTTCTTCAAAATGAATAAAAAAAATTAATGCATGTTTTCCTGACTTCTAGTCATGTTCATATGTGAGTGAAGGAAATTATTTCAGGTAAATTTTGTGAGTAATTTTGATTGAAAAATTTTATTATTCAATAAAGGTATTATATAATTATAATCTTTTGTGGGTTGATTTAACATTGGTTTTTAAGGAAAAGACATACTTATCTGCAACAAAAACATAATGTAATTCCTTTACCTCTGATTTCCCATGGTTTCTCTATAATTATTAAAAAATTAGCTTAAATTTAAAAAAACTTTTCTTCAATAAAAATTTGGTAAAAATTATTCACCATATTCTTCGATTATGCATTTATGTTTCTTGCAAACTGTATATTCAGGACATAAGGTGTCGCCAACTCGTTTTTCACAAGTAACTTAAAAGTTTTAGGGAATTGTATATTACATATTTTATACATTTTATACATTGTTTATGATTAACCCCCAAAAATATATAGATATTTACTAGGATGCATACTTCTTAGAAAAAAAAACAATTAAAACCATTAAAGTCTGGCTTTTGAACTTGACTTAAATTCATCTGTTTTCCTGGTGTTGTTTGGGAATCATAAGAAGGCTGTGTTTTATCTTTACGTTTCATGGCAGAGTTCACTGATATTATTAAGGTTCTGCTATTTTAAAAGGGTTGAAAAATCTGTTATGGATCAAGGTATTTTAGAATTCCAGGTTGTCATCCTTGAAGGTAACGCTATTTCTAAATTTTAAACCATAGTTTTACTTAGCTGCTCAAATAGATAAATTTTTCATCATAATCATATTCCTTATTGATTTCATTTTACCTTTATCTTCCCAGGGTTCAGGTGCTAAAAATAAAGAATTTTTATTGTAGAAAATATGTTTTTTAGAATATTAGCATGTTTAAATTTTAAAGTCTTATTGTGGAAGACAATGCCTGGTCGCGTTAAACAAGTTCCACAAGATTCAACAGAATGAGATAGAACGGATACGGGGCATAGTACTGAAAAACATCTACACATGTGATCTTGAGATAAACTCTTAGTCTGAACCCTCTAGCAATAAGTTATAAGAAATATATATACTGGAAGTACTTTATGCGTTTTTATTAGAGTCTGACCCACGTCCTCTATATTATGATACTTTTTCAACAATAAAAAAGAACTGCGTAAATTTTCTTAAATTTTACCAAAATGTTATTTATTAAACTGCAATAACCCTTGACTTTTTGTTAACAAAAGAATATTTTAAACATACATTATTTTTTTAAACTTACATATACTTAAACAAAAAAACTTTTATTAATTTTTAAGCCTTGCTTAACCTAACTTAAAATAATCCTATTTTTTGAAAGTGGAAGAAGGGCCAAAATTTAACTTGAAGTAGGTTTTTAAACCATCAAGGTTCTTTAAATAAATTGAACTGGACAATAGTTATAAGGTAAGTGGTAAAATAATAGGCCTGTTGATTTGACAAATTCTTAACAAAAGTAATAAAACAGAACTGCATCCAAGGTGCCTAGACTATTGAAATTTACAAATATTTTAATACAATAAGCATCCTTGGTATGTATTTTAAATAAATCTGGGTTTTTATTTAAAATTCAAAACTACCTCTAACATAATTAGTATAGTCATCTCCAGATTGTCCATGTCCTTAAAAACTAACTTAAAGGGTCTGTTAGACAGTCTAGCCGACCTGTTTAAAGCAATTTTTACACAAGCAGATGTAGAGAATTAAGTCTAATTTGTATAATAAATTTGCTATAGCTGTTTAAAAAGGCTGAATCAAATAGGCTGAAATTTTTGAAGGAACTCATGGGTATAATATAGGCTCAACAAATTTTAATTTTTTAAATTACACCAGCTAAGCCTTGCACTTCAGTTAGTTTAATTATTAAACCCTAAAAATATGTAATACCACCTTCATTTCCTGTTATGTCATCTGTTTCCACAAGATATGTTTTTGACTCAACTAAAACAATTCAAACATTCTAGCTTAAAACTCATGAGTTCAGTTACTTTGTTCAATTTGGTATTTAAATATATCCTCATTTTGAAATTTGTTGGTAGATTATAATATTACAAATAATTAATAAATTAGTAAATGTCTGAATGCCTAGGGACACTATAATTGTAATGAAACAAAGAGACCGCAATACTTGATTCTTCATGATTGACTGCAATAATTATCCGTCAAACTTAATTAGATTATTTAATTGATTTACTTGATTTTGTCATTAAAACTAAATTTCAATGTAAAAGGTTCTAAAAACAGGATTCAAAGATTTTTAAAAATATATTGGAAATTTACTTAAATCCTGGTATTATTTCTTATTTGAAGTTAATTAACTTTAGTGTCCACTAGTCCCTGGTAACTGGAGAACAAAATCACATAATGTTGATCACCAGCTTTTTATTTCTTTTGAAACAAAAACATCAAGTTATATCATAAACTAAGAAATGTGGTCAAATTGTGGAACACAATAATTACAAAATATCTAAATATATGCTTTGTCTGTTTAATTGTTTTTGTTTGTTTGTAAACAATAAACATCAATACTGCTAAACCTATCAGCCAAAATTGCCTTAAAAATTTTGATTTTACAAAATACTGTATTAGCAAGCACTGGTTTACTTTATCATTTCACAGTTGCCTGACTGCCTCCTTATCTCTCGACAACTTGATGTCTAAAGAACTATTTGGAAAGGCCATAAAGTGTTAAAACAAGAAACAAGAAGCAAGAAGAAAAAGGAAAATTGAACCCAAAAAAAGTGGAAGGGAAATCTTTTGACAGTAGAGATGGAGGCTTGGAATACATCCCCCCCCTCCCTGGAAAGGGCGGTGAATGGAGCATGCCCCCCCTTCCCGCCCCCAAGAAAACATCATGGAAATAGTGTAGAGAAGCGCCTGACACAAGATACATGTGTGAACAGAATAACAATTGCAAAAACCCTTTTTATTCCACCTTGCCCCTCTACCCTCCTCCTGACTTTAAGACTGCTTGATCAACTGTGTGCAAGATCAGACATTCCCCAGTTGTGTAACAAGAAAACTAAAACTGATAACTGAAGAGTCAGCTAGCTTGAAAATACAGCAAACAATTACAATGCAAGGGGAGAGGGTGGTGACCTTGCTTGTACCCTCAAGAATTCAGTATGGCTTAAGAATACGAGGTTTGGAAAAATCATTCTTTCTTGTAAATTTACGAATTTACAGGATATCCAAAAAAATTATTTCTTTTTATTTTCAAAATTAGGCGAAGTATATTTAAAGAATGGACAATAAAGAAAAAATTAATAACAAGAATTATTAAAATCTCAAAATATTTCCATCTGATATCATACAAATATTTGAAAACATTGTAAAAATTAATTAAGATTAAGATTAAGATAAATAATTAAAGTTAAAACTTTATCATTTCAAAACCTATTTATTCAATTATTTCTAAGAATTAAGAAGAAAAACAAAAATGATTAAATAATAACCTTTCAAATAATCATTTATAATACAATTATATGATCTATAGATGTCCAGTCTCAAAAACAATGCTGGGAGAAATTTTGTCATAAGGAAGAAAATGAAGTTCCCCTATTACCTCAATTACCAAATGCAGTTTTTTTATATACCCCATAAGTAAAATTTTGAATTGGACCCATTAGAATATCTAAACACAATATTATCTAAAAGCTCTTCATTTTAAATAAGCTGAAAAAGATACTATTCTTTGGCATATTTTATTGGAAATGAACAAATTGAAATGGCAAAAATTTTTTAGGTAATTTTTAACTTGTTATTAAGTTGCAACAGAGTGATGTAATGGATACTTATGTTTTTTTTTATGTCCAAAAATTTATAAATAAGTATAAGATTCTATCCTGAAAACTCCGTGCTGCCCAGGGTAAAGTCGACCCACTCAAATTAGAATCTCAAAACCAAGCTAAGAACATTCTTTTGGGTCTCCTGATTTCCCCAATCAAGAATTGAAGCAATTTGGTCCAGGGATTCCTAAGTTATGATCAGACAAAGAGACAAACAAACAGACAAACAGAGATTCCAACTTTATATATATATAGATGCCACTTGTTCTTCTTTAAAAACCATTCGAGAAATATTCTAAATCCCAAAAAAATGTTATCTTTCTCAACAAAAACATTGAATAACTTTCTTTTCTTCTCACTTTATATAATAAATTTTCAGTATTTGTTTTTAACACAATTTAATAAAATAAGTATTACAGGTTAGACATATTGGACTGTAGGAGTCCAGATCTATCTGAGAACATAATCAAATCAGATTTTTTCAGCAAATTTTGTTTGATGACATATCAGTTAATCTTGCCATTTACTTCAGGCAGTCTCCTCCGCCTGAAAGAAAAAGGTTCATGGTTTTGAATAAGATATGAATTCATAATTTTGTAACATTAAAAAAAATTCATTCCATGCTTTTTAAGCTAAGGATGAATATGCACACAATAGAGTAAATTTTCAGCAAAGAAAGGTATAATTTAGAAATAGGCATCGTTTTGCTCAGTCAGACCAAAAGGTATTGCAATGAAGCTTGTGCAGGAATGAAAGGTCGATACGGTACGGGGAAGATTGGTACCCTCTGACTTCATATTCCAGTACGGACGGTGTAGAGGAGAGCACATTAGTGGATACGGGCGGTGTGACATAGGTAGGGTACAGGATTCATTATTGTATGACTACCTTACCCAATTCCAGTTCCCATGATTAAATCATTTCTGCAAACGACTTGAAAAAAACGATCGTTTTTGTGATGAACGAACAATTTTTTCAAATAAACTTTTCAAAAAACGATTGTAGGGTACAATTGTGAAAGGGTCTGTGAAGTCCAGGTATGAAAGAAATACAAACTTCATGAGTATTTTATATCTTTTTGTAACTTAAAGTGAAATATTTTATAAACTTTTTACTTTTTTACACTTTTAAGCTCTAGATGTATGCATAAAATCTATTTCTACAGATTAATTGTCCAAAAATTGATTCATAAACTGAAATAACATTATTATCCTTTTTTTCTCCTCCCCCATTAGGTAGCTCACCTTATCATCTTTGTGAAGGCATAATCCTAATTCCAAGTCACATGTTAATGGTTCTGGACACTCTTTCTCTGTTTCACAGAGTACTAAACATGCACAAGATTTGCTTGTTGTATCTAGTTAAAGTGGGTTTAGAAAACATGATTTGGTTGTATGCCATACACAGAAAATGTGTTGCTGACCTGTTTTAATATCAAAAAAAGTATTAATTTGACTCTTGCCTAAACCCACCCACAAGAAATGTTTTAGAATTACCTACATCAGCTGCAATTGGAGGTTCATAATCTTTAAAGGCACCATCATCTTCAAAAGATGCTCCTATGATAGTAAAAGGTATGGCAACAGGAATTTATCAAAATAGTGTAAATGAACATTGCTTGAACACATTTATTTGACAAATGTTTAAAATATTAAATGAAATCGTGAAACAAAAGTGTTAAATAGAAAAGTTAATATATATGGTACAAGGTACCCAAACCATTGAATAATACAAATATAAAAATACAATATAAATACTAAGTTTCATTAATAAAAGATGATTTTTAATAAAAATGACATACCAGCTTCAGCTAAATCAGCATAGTCTACTCCTGATTTTAAATGTCCTTAAAAATTAACTTGATGTAAGTAATGTTTACAAAAAATTTTTATGTGAGCCAATTGAAAATATAATATTTTTTAATTTTGTTAAGATCAGTATTTGTTGAAACAAACTATTCATTTTGAAATCTCAACTGAATATACAATATACATTCATTGAAGCATTCAGGTCTCAAATAATCAAAACATTTTAATGATTACATTCATTAAACTTTATACATTATGTCAGTTACTTTTAAAATCTGCTGAAAATCTGGGCTGAAATTTTTTGTGGACACTCATAGGTAGCCTGGGGATAGGCTAAAAAAAATGTTCAACATTTTTTTTCTTTTTTTTCCAGTTAGTAGTTTATACAATCATTGTGCCATCAAATATTTAATACCTCCTTCAATTCCTCCTGGTTCACCAACTGTCTCCAACAGATACTTTTTAGACTCTCCTGAAACAATTCAAACATTTTGCAATTGTTCGTAGATTTTTCAATCATACAATAGAGGATTTACAGAATTACAAACAATTAATTAAATACTTTAATTTTAAATGTTAATGTTGTCAAAAAAGAACAAAGTAATCAAATGTTTTAATAAATGACAGTGCTCAACATGGAGGTTTATCTTTCTAAAATATTGTCTATCTTTATACTTTAAAAAAACGGGAAAAAAGATTAGAAACTAAATCAAATTTTGAGTGTAACTTTATCATCTCAGGAACCATGAATTTTAGCTAAGGTTGCTGAACTGCCAACCTCAGGTTCAAATATTGAATCACCAACTTAAATTTAAAGATTTAATTGTTTTGTATCTGTGATGCAAAATTTAACCAGCACTGTGGCAGGTAGTTCAGAGACCTCTCTCATTCACTAAATTCTAACTCAGTACTTAAAGAGAATGCATTTTTTTGAAATATATTGATTGATTCTTGTGGGACATTTTACAATATTCTTTTTAAAAAGTTAACAGTGTTAAGGCAATCTCTATATTCATATTCAATTGATGCATAATTTTGATATATCTTACATGCATTGTTAATGTATCCCCTATTCTAAAATGTAGGTTTAATAGCAAATAAATTTTAATAAGTTCTAGTTCGAATAATGAATATGTTTAAATGCCTAAGGTCAGTATAATTGTCAGAACACAAAGGGACCTCACTACTTGATACTTCATGATAAACTGAAATATGCAATATTTGATTTACCGATATAATTGACAATTTGTTTAACAATTTCAACTGCACACCTTTGAAATGCATCAATGTCAAAATCTATTAAACCATTGATGTTTTAAAAAAGCAGTAATGATTCTTGAAATTTATTTCTGAATTTTTTAAAAACTTACATGGCTATTTAAATTAGTATTAATATAATGTTAAACATCCTCACAAAATCATTACACAAAATATGAAAAAGATACAATATCAGATCATAGAACTGTAATATTGACTAATGCGGCAATATTCAGATGCAGTTTAATTCTATTCTTAGTAATATAACTGTGCAGGCGTGGAACTAATTCATTCATTATATTTTTTGTAAAATATTTGAATAATAAATACAATAAAAGCTCAAATTACAGTATTTTACAAAAACTATTGCATTTTATGAATTAGTGCCTATATAGTTATATTCATACATGATACACCTGTGCAATGACAATAGAAGTTTACTTTAAAAAAGAGTGTACAGAGCTGAAAACTTTAGAATGTTGGATATCGGGATTAATGCTTAATTTACTCTTTTTCTTAATCTCGAGATTAAATATTGCTTGTTCTCCTCTCATTTTTAATCTCCAGATTAATTATCCGATCAGGATTAAGGATATCCCATTCTAAAGTTTTCAGCTCTGGCCATTTTACTCCCAATTAAAATTGTTTTTCCGTTGTAAATAAACAGTTTTTCTTAATCTTGATAATAGTAAACTTTTTAATACTAATTGTTTCAAAATAATTAAAACTTTTATATCATGTTGAGATTTAAAAAAAAGGATTTTTATGAATGTAAAAGCCAAATATTTTTTTTTAAAGATCATTATTCTTGACGTGGAGACAGAGTTGGGAAAAGTAGCATGAGGCACGGAGATGATTTTGATTGGTTTTGAGGTCACTCTGCAAAAAAGGAGGCTCAGGAGGTCATTTCATGGAATCACGGGGCTCATGGTGTCTCTGCACCCACTTCCTATGTACAGCACAATGATTACTTTGTGGCACTGCTGTAACAAATAAACAAAAACATGAAGTGTGCATGAATTAAAAACTATTCATATTAGTTTCATAAAATATATGTTTAAATTTATTTTTCAAGTTTTGAAGACAATGCAATGATTACTATTACAACAGGTTGGCCATATTATTATATCGTTTAAACTGACGACGGTCAACCCAGATCGAAATATTTTTTCAATAAATGTGGACCTAATATCTACTTTTTTTTACTCTACAGAGGTTTGGTCCATTACCATCACCAAATTTTATAAGGTTGGCTATATTCAACTGCATTGCTTCCAAATCTACCTAAAAAAATTTTGTTGTATTGTTGCTGATTTTCAAATTTATTATTGTAGCTGATTTTTAAATATAATATTGTTGCTGATTTTTAAATATAATATTGTTTCTTATTTTAAAAATATTATTGTTGCTGATTTTAAATATAATATTGTTGCTGATTTTTAAATATAATATTGTAGCTGATTTTAAATATCGTTGCTGATTTTAAATATTGTTGCTGATTTTAAATATAATATTGTTGCTGATTTTGAGTATAATATTTTTGCTTATTTTAAATATAATATTGTTGCTGATTTTTAACCCTGTTGATGTCTGGTTTACTGACTGGCTGCCTGGGGGGGGGGCAAATTGACCCCCCCCCCCCTCTATTTTCTTATTGTGATGGAAATCTTAATTATTTCATATCTAAAAAAAACCTAGACTCTACTTCAATAATCTGCAAAAAAAATGGCAAATTTTCAGAAATCCAAAGCTTTATTGCAAAATCTAGTTATCAAGCAAAAAATGTGCTAAACAATTGCGCAAATTGCATTAAATTATAAATTTTTGAAGAACCCTTGACCTAGCAAATTCAAATGTGCAAATACATCTGATAACTCTTGCAAAACCTAAAGTGTATTCAAGAAAAACTGAAAATGTGCAAATTGCCTTTAAAGGTGTCTTTGCAATAATCTGTGCAAAGTGTCTTTGCAAAAATTGTGCAATCTGCTTGCTTTTGTTATAGGCTTTCAAAAAAAGTTTTAAAATGTTGAAATCCAATAACTGGAAGTAGGACTAAATATAGATTTGGTCTGGTATAGGTAAAATAAGGCATTTAGGCAGGATGTCTGAGGACTCAGGCAGTAGGTATAAAAGCCCAGCTTTTATTCTTGAGTGAGTGGGATGTGTTAGTTAGAATAGCCTGGGGGAGGGTAAAAATTTACCCCTTCCCCCACCCCCGACCAAATAGGGTAAAATATAGTATTGTTGCTGATTTTCAAATATATTATTGTTGCTGATTTTCAAATATGATATTGTTGACATACCTAAACAAGTATTAGCCCACAAATCCCATGACCCACTTTTGGTATCGAACATGTATTATAAGGCTTAGGACAGTCTGAATCTGTCTCGCATTTATCATGTCCTAAATAAGTAACAAAAATATTTCAAAAACTTCAAAGGAAAAATGCTGCTACGAACATGAATATTGAATATGCTTTGAACACTTCACAATTAAATCTATGAACATTTAGGATTGAGAAGTAGGGCTGGGCATACTCTGACTTTTTTTGAAATCGTTCTGTTCCGTTCTAGAACGAGGGCCTTCAGCTAAATCGTTCCGTTCTCGTTCCTCTTTTTTATTGTTCTGTTCTTGTTCCGTTGCATTCCGTCCCATTCCGTTCTGAGTAGAAGAACGGTCTTCCCATTCCGTTCCGTTCTTGGGGTTCTTAGTTCCTCACGGTCGTAAATAATACTTTAAATTATAAATTTTAAATTTAGAGTTAAAAGAATAAGCTTAGATAATTTCTGAGCTGAGCAATGTATAATTTTGTGAGAGCAGGGGGAGGGGCGGGAGTGCTAATATCCTTAATATGTACGATATTCAGAAGTTAAACTGAAACCTGCTGTGTATAGTCTGAATGTTGTCAGTTTAGCAGAGGCCGGGGAATTAAATAAAAAAATCTTTAACTATTTCTAGAGGATTTAGAACACATTCTAGATTTAAAATGCGTTCCCAACTTAGAACAAGTTCTTGATAATAAGAACGCATTAACAATTTTAACCATATTTTTAAAGCAATTCCCATTCCGTTCCGTTTTTTTACTAATTGTTCCAATATTTTCAAGAACGCGTTCTAAGCCTTCGTTTTTTTCACAACGATGAGATCGTTCTTGATTGTTCTATTCATTCTCGGGAAAGAACAATCGTTCCATCAGGAACGCGCCCAGCCCTATTCAGAAGTTATCTAATTAAAGAATATTTAAAATACCCCAGTTCACTGGTGCCAGAGTAGTAGAGGCATCTTCTGCATCACCTAATTTAGTAATGTGTAATAAGTTGATATATTTTTTAAGGTTTTTGGAATTTTTGAAGCTGAGAAGCTTTTCTCCAAAAAAAACTGTTTATTCTAAACATCTACTTTTCTTAACCCTATCCCCGCTGGGGTACTTGAAAACCAGGATACGCTGGGGGGGGGGTCAATTTGACCCCCCCCCTCTAAATCCCATGTTTTATGTCCAAATATGACAAATGATACATCATTAGAAAGCTCTTGTGCTCTACTTTTAGAATCTGCAAAAAAAATTTACAAATTTGCGAAAATTGAATTTTTTATTGCAAAATCCAGTTTTATAGTAAAAATGTTTGCAAAAAAAAATTTGTCCAAAAAATGACAAATTATACATTTTTGAAAAGCCCTTGACCATGCCATTTCAAATATGCAAAAATTTTTGCAAAATTTTAAATAACCTGATTTTTAATCAAGAAAAACTAGAAATGTGCAAATTTCCTTTGACAGGTTGTTTGCAAAAAATTTGCCATTTTTTTTTCGCAAAACTTGTGCAATCTGTTTCCTTATGTCATAGGCTTTCCAAAAAGCTAAATTTTATCAAAATCTGACAAGTGAAAGTGGGTCAAAACAAAGATTTAGTTTGCTACAGGCAAAAGCAGTCATTCAGGCAGTGTGCCTGAGGACTCAGGCAGTTAGTATTAAAGCCCAGTTTTAGGCCTAAAGGGAGGGCTTTGGGTATGTAAGAAAAGTCAGAAAATTTCAACAGCCTCAGACCAATACTTTTTGAGTTATGTAAAAAAAACTACAGGGGGGGGTCAAATTGACCCCCCCCCCCAGCGGGAATAGGGTTAAACCCTGACAGAAAATTTAGCAAAATAAGATCCAAAACTAACATAAAAATAAAGTTTTGAAAACTGTAATTTTTATCAAAAGTTTAAAATTAACCTTATTCCCCAAAATTGTTTCTAATGCTAGATTAAATTGAACTACATACTCATGAATATAATTATTAGGTTTGTGTGGGACTTCATATGTCCCCAGAGAAGGTTTATAGATGATAAAAATTTCAAAAATTCGCCTCAAACGAAATTTGATTTTATTAAATTTTGAAAAAATCACAAAATTTTCTTAATATAATCCGCTACCTTTTTTGTTTTAGTTTTACAATGTACAGGGTATGCCAGTCAAAAAACTGTGCAGTAGGGGTATTAGGGGTATTATTTCGTTTAAATTTTACAGTCAAGGTGACATTTTAATACTTTATATCTTAGTCATTACATCATGTAAATTTTTTCCTTCTAGGCCTCAAACTTTTATTGTTACAACCAATTATTTGAGTATAAGTCAAAAAATAAATTTCCTGGATTTTTAAAATTTTTGATTTTTTATGTCTCATTTTTATTCATTCAGAAAATATGATAAAAAATAAAAGTTTTCAAAATTGTTTCTTAAGTCATAGGCTAAGCCCAAGTAACAAAAGTGAGGAATTTCCTCAGATTCTCTAACCATGGTGACTTTCTTTGAAGAATTTCTGAGGTATTTCTCAAGAATCATTTCCTGTAACTGATTCCTCAGAAATTCTCAAGAAATTCCCCAGTATTAATCCCCAAGATGAGAGATTTTTGTAGGATCACAGTTTTGAGACTTGAAATTCTTAGGACTTGGTCACCATGTTTACGCATTTTTAGGGGAATTTATTAAGAGAATTAATTTGGAGAAATTCCTGGGAATTTCAGCCCAAGAAAATCCTGAGAATTTCTCCTGATTACTTCTCCAGAAATTCCTGAGAAATTCTTGGGACCTGGTCACCATGTTTAGGGATTTTAAGGGGAATTAAATAAAAGAACTAGTTTCAAGAAATTCCTGAGAATTTCTCCGTTATTTCACCCCAAGAAATTCCTGAGAAATTCTCCTGAATGCTTCTCCGGAATTTCCTGAGAAATTCTTTGGACTTGGTCACCAAGTTTACAGATTTTTAGGGGAATTAGATAAGAGAAAAAGTTTTGAGAAATTGCTGAGAATTTCTCTGGAATTTTTCTCAAGAAATTCTCTGGACTTCATTACAGAATTTTTAAGTTCCGTTTTTCTCCAATAGGTGTCTCTAAGGTTCCCTGCTATTATGCACTGCCCTGACTAAATCTTTTTTTCTTTGCATCCTCATTGATAAAAAATGATCATTTACTTTAGAACCGTCTTTTTAAAAAATATTTTGAAATTTTTTTTATTATTTTTATTTTTTCTTGACAATTCAGTTGTCTGAATAAACAAAATACATGACAACTTCAGTAAGATCAAAAATTTCTATACCATTCTGACTTCAGAAAATGGTTATACTTCTAAAAAGTTGGAGGGATAATAAAGTTGTCCTTCCACTACTATTCACTACTATTGGGTCAAAGTCCTGGTTAGTGAATTTACTCAGGAATATGCTGAGAATATTTCAAGATATTCCTGAGGAACTCTTGAGAAAATCTTGGGAATAGCTCCCATGAAATTCCTAGGAATTGGTTCTTTTTCCACAAATTTTGTCAACATTTTCTTCGGGTTTTCTGCAGAATTGGTAACAAGAAATTCCTCAAACATGGTTCCTCAGAAAAGGTTACAAGAAATTCCTCGGAATAGCTGTCAACATTTTCACCAGATTTTCCTCTGAAAGATTCCTGGGAATTTCCGGGGATTCCCAGGAAGGATTCCTAGGAATTTCCGCAGATTTTCTGCAAAACTGTCTACTATACCTACAAACCTTACCCTTAAATAGGTCATATTAATTATAATATCAAAGGCAATCTGTAAAATCTTACTATATAATTCCTCAAAAGGTGTTGGGTCATCATCTTTTGTTGCACCCTGGGCGCAAAATCCATGCCAACAATTAATTTCCCCAGGACAATCGTCATGGGCTTTGCAGTCTTCTAAACATTGTTTAAATTAATCGATCTTCCTGCCTTAAAGAGAGTGTTCGCAAAAAATGAAAGTTTGATAAAAGTTATATTACAGTCATCAAAGAGTAAAACTCATTTTGAGAACTAATTTATTTTAATAGGTGTAGACTGAATCCAAAGAACAAAGTCCAATAAAACTAAATAAAATTAGCTAACACACAACAAAAACCATTAAATTTTAAATTGTTAATCAAAGGAAGTAGCCTTTTTTAAACAAAAATTAAAGGTGGAAACGAAAAAAGAAAACGAATGTGTTTTTAAATAACAGTGACTTTTTATTTGGCTTAAAACTGCATAAATAAAAGATAATTTTCGTGTCTTTTGATGTCTTCTGTTTTTCCCCATGCTTTTTTGTTAGAGTGAAGAATTTTATGCATTTTGATGTTTTTGAATGATGTCTCTAATTATTTTACATAATAATCATTAACAGCTGATATTTCTCCCCCCCCCCTAACTAACCAACAGCAACAGCTCACAAAATTTGTTAAATACATGCATTTAATAATCAAAAAGTTTATTAAAACTAATAAAAAATTAAGTTCCTTACTATGAGCACAGTAGTTGTTGTCACATGTTGTATATTCAGGACTTCAAATTCCCCAGTTCGCTCAGCACAAGGAATATCTAGTTTGAAACATGTTTTAAACTTAAACCATTTTAGAGGGGTTTGTATTTTAAAGAATTACACCGGTAATTACTAGTAGTGGGTGTAGGTGAAAATCCCAGCTAAGCATAGTTGAATGATGACAATTTATGTCTGTAAATAAATTAACATAATATTGCAGGAAGGGCTGATAATTGTTACAGAATTGAAGGAAGAATCACAAGCTTGAAGATATTTGCAGACAGTGAAAAGAAAGTAAAATAAGAGTGGAAAGAAATAAAACCTTAATGTTTAATGACAATATTTTTCCTCCCACAACCATAATTGAAAAAGTTAACAAACCAAATAATACAATACAACCTAATTGTGCAAACCATATTTTAAGGAATTGTTTCAAGGTCATGGATTCAGAAGTTAAATCATAAATTATTTAATATTCACTTATTTTCTTCACCTCTGACTTCCCATGGTTTACCTAGTAATTAAAAAAGTATTATTCAAATTTATAACAACAAGAAATGTAATTAAGTAAGGAAAGGCTTTGTTAAAAGCACGGTCTTTATAATTTATCCTTTACCAAATGCTTCGTTTATGCATGTATGTTTCTTGCAAATCCAATCACCAGGACATAGGAAAGTGTCTTTACGTTCTTCACAAGGGACTAAATATAATTTTTAATGCATCACCACTATTAAAGGAACTGTTCATATAATTTCAAGAGACCACTAAAAATGTAACAAAAGAATCTTAGATTTTATCAAAGCTATGCCAGTTCAATAATTCCTTATTGAGTTTTAAAGTGCTGAAACAAAATTTAGATTCTCTTCCTTCAAAGTATTTCAATTGTCTTCCTATAAAGTATTTTGATTCTCTTCCTATAAAGTATTTCAATTCTCTTCCTATAAAGTATTTTGATTCTCTTCCTATAAAGTATTTTAATTCTCTTCCTATAAAGTATTTTGATTCTCTTCCTATAAAGTATTTTAATTCTCTTCCTATAAAGTATTTTGATTCTCTTCCTATAAAGTATTTTAATTCTCTTCCTATAAAGTATTTTGATTCTCTTCCTATAAAGTATTTTAATTCTCTTCCTTTAAAGTATTTTGATTCTCTTCCTTTAAAGTATTTTGATTCACTTCCTATAAAGTATTTCAATTCTCTTCCTATAAAGTATTTTGATTCTCTTCCTATAAAGTATTTTAATTCTCTTCCTTTAAAGTATTTTGATTCTCTTCCTATAAAGTATTTTAATTCTCTTCCTTTAAAGTATTTTGATTCTCTTCCTTTAAAGTATTTTGATTCTTATCCTTCAAAGTATTTTGATTCTCTTCCTTCAAAGTATTTTGATTCTCTTTCTTCAAAGTATTTTGATTCTCTTCCTTCAAAGAATTTTGATTCAATTCCTACAAAGTACTTTAATTCTCTTCCATCAAAGTATTTTGACTCTCTTACTTAAAAGTATTTTGTTTTGCTTCCTTCAAAGTATTTTGATTCCCTTACTTCAAAGTATTTTGGAAAAAATTTTATTTCAAAAACCAGAAATATACTTGTCTGAAGAAAAAGATAACATATTCATCACAATCTTAGTTCATGAATTATCATTAGATTTTAATTTACCTTGCTCCTCCCAGTCCGCACCCTCATCTACAATTGAAGGGGATATATTATAGAAAGTAATATTTTTAATATATTGCAATAATTGTTAATTTATTATATAAGAAAATTCTGACAGCAAACAAAACCTTTCAATAAGTTGTAGTATGAACAGTCAAAACTCAAAAAGAAAGGAAAAAAATTTAAGTTTTTAAAAATAGTTTTGTTTTGACTTATCTGGCTAAAATGAACAAGAGTTATTGATTCAAAATGAATGGTAATTAGTAACAATACTGGTTTTTGTCACAATACTCCTATTAATAAGCTTGCATCAATTTATAATAACTTTTTCTGTTTATGTATTTATCCTTCAATGAAAACTGTAAGCTTGCAATATATTTAGATGTTGTCTTTGATACAGGAAGCTATTTAAGAAGATTTAGGGGCATTATTGGCAGCAAGCCAAAACCTTTATTAAGTAAAAGCAGCATGTTGAAAATTCCAATTGTAAGAGTTTTAAGTGAACAAGTGGATTGTGTGGTCAAAATTCTTAACTAAAACATAACAAGCCTTATTTGACATAAATAAGAGGTTTATATGGAAAAAACTCATTTTTGGCTAACCCCCCCCACCCCCCTCCCACCTTAACACCCCACTGTGCACCAGTAGCTCTAGACCTTCTCGATTCAGATGTGAGAAGATTAAAAGCTACTCTGTAGCGCAGATGAAAATGTCCATAATCTCATCTCTGACTGGTACTATGATGATTTAGTATATTAAGAGTGCAATTAAGATTTATGACTTACACAATAGTGGTAGGCTGTAGTCGTCTCCATTTACTCCTGAAAAAGCACTACAAAAGGACTGTCTTTATACAGTGGATGTAAATGATTTTTTAGTGATTACTCAAAAATGTTTTAAATCTGGACATAGGGCTGGGCGCGTTCCTAGTGGAACGATCGTTCTTTCTTAAGAACGAATGGAACGATCAAGAACGATCCCATTGTTCCGAAAAAAACGAACGCTTAGAACGCTTTCTTAAAAATTTTGGAACGATTAGTAAAAGAACGGAACGGAACAGAACGGGAATTTCTTTCAAAGAATGGTTAAAATCGTTTATGCGTTCTTATTGTCAAGAACTTGTTCTAAGTTGGGAACGCATTTTAAATCAGGAATGTATTCTAAATCCTCTAGAAATAGTGAAAGATTCAGTCTCTGCTAAACTGACAACACACAGCAGGCTTCAGTTTATAACTTCTGTATATCGTACATATTAAGGACGATCCCGCCCCTCCCCCTGCTCTCTCAAAATTATACATTCCTCAGCCCAGAAATTATTGAAGCTTATTCTTTTAACCCTAAATATAAAATATATAATTTAAAGCATTATTTAAGGCTGTGAGGAACTTTTTATTAAAAAATCGTAATTTTCTATAAAACTTTTGTCTTGGATGGAATTGTTCCTTACTAAGAACGGAACGGGGGAAGGAAACGTTCTTAATTAAGAACAGAACAAGAGGGATGCAACTGTTCTTCAACTAAGAACGCCAAGAATGGAACGGAACAGGAAGACCATTCTTGTACTGAGAACGGAACGGAACAGGATGGAACGATAAAAAAAGGAATGAGAACGGAATGATTTAGCTGAAGGCCCTCGTTCTAGAACAGAACAGAAAAAAGTCGGAACATGCCCAGCCCTAGCAGAATAGAAAACTGATTCATTAGTTTATGCTCCTTAACCCCGTTTTCCTGTTTGATACATATTAAAGAGTGTCTGTAGCATCCCCTTTTGTTATTATATCTAATTCTCTGAAACAATTTTGTATATACTAGTCCTATAGGGCGCTTCGCGCCCATCTTCTAAATTAATTGTGAACATGTTCTCTTTGTGTACATCGTAAAATAAAACAAAAATAGTTTGCGGATTTTCACAAAAATTTCGTGGATTTTCAAATTTTTCAAAAATATAATGAAGATCAAATTTTAATGGAGACAAATATTTGCAATTTTGATCATTCATAAACCTTCCCTGGGGCTGCGTGAGGTCCTACAAAAATTGTGGGCCCGATCGGTTCAGCCGTTTTGACGTTTATTGGATACAAACAAAAAGACAAACAGACAAACAGACAAGCCAAATTTATATATAGATTCAATATTTATGTATTCAACATATAAATTTTAACAGTAAAAATATAATAAAAGTTATTTTACAATGAATTACAATTAAAGATGTCAACTCTTGCACATGCTCAATGAAAGTAATGAAAGCTGGAACTTTTTTTTTGGAGATTTAACAGTTCAAAATTTATGCAACATTTTATTATGCATTACTTCTTTCATTACCAAAACATTTTACAATATCTTTGCTAACATAACATATTCATTATTTATGACTGAGGACCAAATTTAACTATCACAATGTCTTACTTTATAGAGTCACTAAGGTCTTGTGCAGCATTTGGAATTTGGAATTAAATAACTTAATATCTTACTACCTCCTTTATGCCCTCCAGGTTGGTCATCTATTGTTTCCACAAGGAACGTTTTAGACTTTCCTTAGCCCATTTAAACATATCAGCTTTTCACTGCCTATTTAAAGACAATATGTGTTCTGTGTACTGTTCAGGTAAAAATAGAGCTATGCACATTTAAACTTTTTTAAATTTTGGTTACTTGATTCATTCAAAAACTGATTTTCTGGTTGCTGTTCATTCTTTTTTTTCAAGAAAGGCTTTCTTATAAATTTGCTGAACATTAACAGAATGTTGCTTGCAGCTCCAAGCAAAAAAGCTTCCTTAAACATGTTAACATGTTCTGTGATCTGTCTTAAAAAGTTATATCTTAAAAAAAAGATAAAGATATTAGAAGTTTGTTATTTTATGCTTTCTTAATAATGAAATTACTGCTAATTTTAAATACAAGATTAAATTTTGAGTCAAGGTACATCAGTGCATTTTGCTTTCTTTGCAATTTGTGCATTCGACCCATATCCTTTTTTTAAGTCATTAAGTAAAATTTAAATTTTTTCAAATTTGGTATTTTCATTCATTTTCCATTTATTCAGGGGCGGATACAGGGGGGGGGCAGGGGACATTCGCCCCCCCTGGCAGATTCAGGGAGAGGCGTAGCCCCCCCTGAATTTGGATTTTTTTGTTCCTATTTTCAGAATAGCCCCCCCCCCCTGAGATTTTGAGGCAAAAAATGTTCCCAATTTGTTAAGTGTTATTGTTAACGATAAATTTAGAATTGGAAATTTGTAAGAAACTAGACTTAAGTTATAATATTGTTCATATCTAGTAATGTTCCTTAATCAATACTCATTTATCAAAATTGTAATATTGTTCCTAATTTTCATGCATTTAAGTATAACTAGTAATTTCTTTTTGTTCTTAAATTGCTAATGTTCCTATTATTGTTCCTGTTCCTAGTACTGTGTCTGACCCACCTTAAATTCCTGTCCTAAGACTATATTTTTGTTCCTAATTCCTGAACAATCTTTTTATTGTTCCTAAATCCCTGTCCTAATCCTTTAATTTAGTTCCTAATTCCTGAACAATCTTTTTATTGTTCCTAAATCAATTTAATTTTGTTTCTAATTCCTGAACAATCTTTTAATTGTTCCTAAATTCCTGTTCTAATTCTTTAATTTTGTTTCTAAAATTTAAAAATCTAGTTTTTTAGTCTATAGTCATTAATTTTGACTCTTTTTGAGTCCTTTAAGTAAAAAAAATTTCGCCTGCACCACCATTTTTTGTTCCTAATTATTAATTTTTTTGTTCCTAAAAAATCTTGCCCCCCCCCCTCACTTAAATCCTGTATCCGCCCCGCATTTATTTCCTTTGATTTTTAATTAACTTATTGTTCAATAAAATCGTTTTTTCAGTGAGATCATTTGTTTAGTTTTGTTTTGCTAGTTCAATAAAACTGTTTGTTTTGTAAAAGAAACGACCTTTGATTCCAAAGTTTGTTAGAAAATGTGTGTCGAAAATGTGGAATTGGTGTCTTCAACAATTTTGTCATTCTCCTGAAACCCCTACTTCCGCCTTTAATTGTTTAAAATGTTTAAATTCCTAGAGACAGTAAAATTGTGATTGAAGAAAAAGACCAAATTATTCCATTGTTCATGATTAACTAAAATAATTATCAAGAGAAATGAGTAATTTAATGCCATTTATTATTTAATTGAATATTAAAATAAACAATCTTTCAATTTAGAATGCCGCCTTTGAAAATTAACAAAATGTGGAATTGTAAATTATTTGTGTTAAAAAAAATTTAAATTTTAAAAATATTTTGACATTTTTCTGATATTGTTAATTGAATTTATTTTAATGCAATTTACAGCATCTTAGCAATCAAATTAAATGAATTGCATCCATGTTATATATGAGATATATTGATATTGATTTATGAAATTATGAAATAATATGTCTAATCTTGGCTTCACATNTGAGTCTTATTTCATATCATTTCATCTTATAAATGATTTATAAATTTTTATAATAATATAATGTTTAATATATATGGTGTATATAGCATACTGCAACAGACAATGACCCTATGGTGTACAATATTGTTAAAGCTTTCTTTATTGCTACTTACTTTCGAAAATAAATCTATAAATATGCCACATTAAGTGCTAGAAATATATTACTTTTTTTTAGTTTCAAGTTTCGCTTTAAGAATGTTTGAGGCATTTTCCTCTGAATGTTATTGTTTTAAAATCCTTATATAGAGAGGAAACATTAACCCATTATTAGTGGACTTAATACTTCATTTTCAGTAGGGGGTGGGATGAGACTAATTTTTCAAAATTTTATGTTCTTTCTATGCATATAATAAGTTTTGTTGTAAAAGTTGAAATCGAGTAGGCGAATACAAAAATCTGAACACTGTAAAGGTTTTATGAAAATATCTTTAAAATGGAGATGGATATTACTTTGCGTGGGATGAGATAATTTTTAGTAAACAGGCAGACCGACCTTTTAGTATCTTAACGCCAATCATTAAATACAGTCATTAAATGGGCGAATTGGATCTAAGATTTGGCTAAAATAAACTGTGCCTTGAATCTCAGTTTTTGTTGACCAAACAAATCTGAAAACAATTTGAAAATTTAGTTTAAGTCAATACAGATGCCATAAAACCCAAATAGATGTCGAAAATTGTGCTAAAAGTGCATTAAATTAAGATCTCAGAAAAAAAAATATTACGGTGTTTACCAATTGAGGTGGTGGAGATTACCAATTTAGGAGCGTGCTTGCCGCAAAACACATTTGGGTGGCGGTGATTACTTGTTGAGGAACTCTGGACTCCCCCCTCACCCAACAGCCCGTAAACAGAGCAAGTTTCAAAAACAGTATAATTGTATAACAATACCATATTTCTTCTTAGTAAGCTTCATAGAGAAAGAAAAGGAAGAGTTAAAGTTCATCTCCTGATAACCTTAGATGGACAACAATGGACCACCCTAATAATCGCTCTTTCACAATAACAAACGTAGCTATCAAGAACAAGCCCATTGTTACAAAAATAGAACGAATGTATAGAATGTGTTCTTCAAAATATAGGAGCAATTAGTAAAAGAACAGAACGGAACGGAAATTGCTTGAAAAGAACATTAATTAGGAAAGCATTCTTATAATCAAGAATGTGATCTTAGTCGGGAATGCATTTCAAATCCCTTCTGAGTGGATCCATCTTTCACATAAAAAATTAAAACAAATCAAAACAAACTCACCAAAAGAACTTTCTCAGAGGTGAATTCTTGAGAATGCATCAAACAGGAAAACGGGGTCCAGAAGTATACATTATTAATTGTGATTTTTCAGAAGCAGATGGACGTTTTTTTAGAGGTATGTCATACAGAAAAGATCATAAGAAAACAGGATTTGCATAAGGAGCTTACTGAAAACCAAAATAAGAAAGCTTCAAAGCTAAAATCTAACAGAATTTAGCCAAATTTTTGAATTATCTGTTTATCCAAGCAAATAAAAAAAATTCAAATTTTTTTTTCAAAAATGATGAATTCAATATAATAAAAGTAACACAAATCGGGCACAATTGGCTCCTCAAGGGACCCCCAGCGGATTTTCTGTTAACTTATAATAGCAGATATTTCAAGGCCTTGAGATTTAAAACACTTTTAAAGCTTACAAGTCACATTGGTCAGTATAACTGATTAGTTACCAAAACAGTATTTCTACTACATCTGTCTGTTTGTCTGTCTGTCTGTTTGTATCCAATAAACGTCAAAACGGCTGAACCAATCAGGCCCAAATTTTTTGTGGGACATCTAGGGACCCCAGGGAAGGTTTATGAATGATTGAAATTTTAAATATTTGTCTCCATCAAAATTCGATCTTCATTAAATTGTTTAAAATTTTGAAAATCCACGAAATTTTTTGTGAAAATCCGCGAATTATTTTTGTTTTGTTTTACGATATACACAAAGAAAACATGTTCACAATTAATTTAGAAGATGGGCGCGAAGCGCCCTCTAAGGCTAGTCTATATATAATTTTGCCTTGTCTGTCTGTTTGTTTTTTTGGGTGTCTGTTTGTTTGTATCCAATAAATGTCAAAATGGCTGAACCGATCGGGCCCAAATTTTTTGTGGGACATCTAGGGACCCCAGGGAAGGTTTATGAATGATAAAAATTTTAAATATTTGTCTCCATCAAAATTTGATTGTCATTAAATTTTTTAAAATTTTGAAAATCCGCGAATTATTTTTGTTTTGTTTTACGATGTACAGAAAGAGAACATGTTCACAATTAATTTAGAAGATGGGCGCGAAGCGCCCTCTAAGGCTATTGATTACAAAAAGCGACAATAAATCTATAATTAAAATAACAAATCACTAAGAATACACTTTTATTGTGAAAAATAAATTTAAACATTTGACTTTAAATTCATTTTGGATCCATGCACTGATTAATATTAAAACAGGTTGGCCATATTCTGCTGCAGGGCTCTAAAATCTACTTTAAAAAGCTTTGTTATATTTTTGCTGATTTTCACATGTATTATTGTTGCTGATTTTTAAATATTATATTGTTGCTGATTTAAATAAAATATTGTAGCTGATTTTCAAATGAAATACTGTTGCAGATTTTCAAATATATTATTGTTGCTGATTGTTTAATATATTATTGCAGCTGACTTTTAAAAATATAATATTGTTGCTGATTTTCAAATATAATATTGTTGTTGATTTTCAAATAAATTATTGTTGCGGATTTTCAAATATATCATTTTTGCTGATTTTCAAATATATTAAAGTAGCTAATTTTCAAATATAATATTGTTGACTTACCTATACTACTATACTATATACTACCACAAATCCCATTATTTATACAATAATTATAAGGTTCAGGACAGTCTGAAGCTGTCTTGCATTTATCATGTCCTAAATAAGTAACAAAATATATTTCAAAAACTTGAAAATGAAAAAATACTGCCACAAACATGAATATTGAATATGCTATGAACACTTAACAATCAAATCTATGGACAATTATGATTCAGAAGTTATTTAATAAAAGAATATTTAAAATACCCCAGTTCACTGTTGCCAAAGTAGTAGAGGCATCTTCTTCATCACCTAATTTAGTAATGTGTAATAAGTTAATATATTTTTTAAGGTTTTTGGAATTTTTAAAGCTGAGAAGCTTTTCTCCAAAAAAAACTGTTTATTCTGAACATCTACTTTGCTTAAACCCTCACAGAAAATTTATCAAATTCCAAAACTAACATAAAAATACAGTTTTGAAATACTGTAATTTTTAACAAAAGTTTAAAAATAATAATAAGTTTTGAAATGTTTAAAGTTTTAACAAAAAAAAATAATAATTATCATTTGCATTTATCATGACCTATGTAACAATGCTGAATCAATACTGCTACAAAAATGAACATTGTACATGCTACAGTCATAACCACAAAGACCTGGAATTAACTGACAGTTAACCAGATGACTTTACATATATATCTCTTGTAATTCATAATGAAGGCAAACAATTTTTTGGAATTGGCAGGACTATGGCTTTTAAGTTATTATCATTACCTTACTCATACTTGTAAAGTTGTCCAATTATGACTGTATGAAAATATGTGGCATTAACCACTTCCCAATTAAATCTGATGGACAATTAGTATTTTTTTTTAATTAAAGAACGTTTAAAATATATATAAAGAGACAGTACCCCAGATCAGTGGTGATAGAGTAGAGGAGTAGTCTTCTTCATCATCGCCACCTAATTTAGTTAAGGATTCCTATAAAATCTGAGAAGTTCTTTAAAAAAACTGTTTATACTAAACATCTACTTTTCTTACAGCTTGACAGAAAATTTAGCAAAATTCAAACCAAAACTAAGTTTTGAAATGTTGGAAGTTTTATCAAAAACTTAAAAAATAATAAATATCATAAACTACCATAACATAAATCCCCAAAATTGTTTCTAATGCATGATTAAAGAAAAATGCATACATCTTAAATGAGACTCATCTAAAAATTGTATCCACAGAATTTGCGCTGTCCCCACAAATATTTAACTCTAAAAGGGTGTAGGGGGGGGGGTGGCACTATTTTACAAAGTTACAGCATCTATTCTATTTATGGGGTGTAATTAAGAATTAAATTAAATGTCAACTGAAAGAGGTAAATTTATCAAAAACTATACAACTCTTACAAAGAGGACATCTTAATAATAATATCAAAGGCAATAGGACAAATGCTTACCATGCTGTGTTTGGTAAGAATCCACTGGGACGCAAAATCCATGCCAACAATGACTTTTTCCAGGACACTCTACTTTGGTTTTGCAGTCATCTAAACATTGTGCAAAATTAACCAATTTTCCTGCCTTAAAGTGTTTGTAAAAAATTAAAGTTGGTTAAAAGGTTATAGCACAACCATCAAAGAGTTTAACTCCTATTGACAACTAGTATATTTTATTGGGTGAAGACTGAATCCAAATTTTGATTTGATCATTCCTAATTTTACTTCTTTCATGTAGCATATAAGAAGAAGGGCATTTAATAGCTGAAATCATGTAACACTAAGAACAAAGTCCAATTAAACTCAGGGATTTCATAAAAACATGATTAATGAACAATATTTTTAGGGGAATGGGGGGAATAATTCAAAGATTGCAAACAAAGCTAGTACAGGGAAAAGTTCCACTAACTGAAAAGTCTGCTAAAACTAGGGTTTCCATGAGCAATAATGTGTTATTCAATTTCAGGAAAGTTTGATAAAATTTTGTTAAAATTGCCATAAATACTAATAACAAATATATTTTAAAGTTTTTTAAAAGAGATTTTTTGTCCCCAGGACATGATCAGGTTGTTACGATCAAATCTTGGAATTTTTTTCTATTGCGAAAGATTGGTGTAGTCTGGTTTTAAATATTGATCTACCAGGGATGTAATCTGGCAGCACATTCATCCGACCATGCTTCATTCATACTGAGAAGAGGGCTGACAAGAATCCAGCTGCCTAAGATTCTTCTTAGGCCCAAGAATATAGAGTGGAGGAATCTTTCTGATATACTGGAATGAGGCCCCGGTGCCATATTGACAGGAAACATCACACTCATTGCTCCCTAACATCTGTAAGCCCAAATTGGATACCCCTGGGTACCTATAGCTGGCAACCACAGACTCTCCCTGTGTGTCCAACATTCCACTCTTCGTCATCATTCACTTGGATCAATCCACTTAAAGCTTCTTTCTTGTTGAGTAAAAAGCATGCATCCTTTCGCTGATAGAGTGTTGACAGCTGCCCTGCCTGTCCTATTACATCCGTCAGGTGGTCATAACTACTATACCAGATGTCGGAAAACAAAAATTGGAAAATAGATTTTTGTCCTACCAATAGAATTTCTTGCTGTGGCATGCAATAAGATGAATTCTAAACTTGTTCAGATAAGTTACAGCGCAGGTTTTGTGCTACTATTGCACAATGGCATAATGGAAAACCTAACTCACACAGCAGAAATCATTAAAGTTTAAATTGTATTTAACAAACGGAAATAGCCATTTTTAAACAAAAAAAATAAAGGTGGAAATGAAAAAGAAATGAATGTATTTTTAAATAACAGCAACGTTTGTTAATTTTTCTGCTTAAAATAGCATAAATAAAAGATAACTTTAAGTATTTTGATGTCTTCTGTTTTTCCCGGGCTTATTTGTTAGAGAGTATAATTTTATGCATATGGGTGTTTTTTTATGTGTTTTGATGATTTTGAATGTTGTCTTAAATTTTTGTACTTTGTTAATGGCCGAGGTTTTTTTTTACTTCATTTACAACTAACTTTTAATAAACAGTTTGAAACAGCACACCAAAACTTGTTATCCCCCCCTGGTAATAATAAAAGACATTTCGTCATTTAAATGTAAAACTCGGTCCAAAGGATCCAAATTTGAATTAGAAGACAATTACAAAAAATAAACACATTTAATATTCAAAAAGATTTATTAAAACTAATAAAAACCTAAGGATCTTACTAGGAGCACAGTAGTCATTATTGTTGTCACAAGTTGTAAATTCAGGACATACAAATTCCCCAGTCCGCTCAGCACAAGGAATATTTAGTTGAAAACATACCACTTCAGAGGGATATATATTATATCAGCAAAGTAAATTAATACTAACTACAAACTCTAGCCAAGTTGAATTCATCTCTAATCTCTAGAAATTAATCTAAAGACTAAATTTCTTTTGAGATTAGTAAAAAGAGAGATTCAAGCATTGATCTTGATATCCACCATTCTATAGTTTTCAGTTTGGTTAATGTAATTTCAAGAGACCACTAAAAATGTAACAGAAGAATTTTTGAACTTTCCGCCTTATCTTCTGAAGTATTTTATCAAAGCTAAGCCAGTTCCAAATTCCTTATTAAGTTTTGGAGGGCAGAAACATTATTCTGATTCTTTATATTTTGGAAAATTTTCTGACTTGCTCATATTTTCTAGAATTCTTCTGAGCCTTTGATTGTTTGAAGTTGGAAAACATTAAATATTTAAGATTATAGCTGTGAAAATTTCTTATTCAAGAATCAAAAATTGGACTGCCTGCACTAATCATCCTTATGAGATCACCACTATAGTTGGGACTACAGTTTATTTTCTTCAATTCTTGGATCCTAGATCGAAAAAGGGAAGCTTTGATCCTTTACTGGTAACACTGTCCTAAATTTTAAATACCAGGATTATACTTATCTGAACAATAAAATAACTTATTCATCATAGTCTTAATTCATGAATTTTCCTTTGTTTTCATTTTACCTTGGTCCTTCCAGGCCTCATCTACAAGTAAAGGGTATATACTAAAGAATTAATTTGTTCTAAATTTTATTTAGAAATATTTAGGAATTCTATATTATGTTAATATTCTGTTTTAAGTGGTCAAACTAATCAGTGAGTAGGGTTTAAAATTTATCTGAACTCCAGGCTGCTAAGCTATGAATCATCAGGTTTAAATGCATCACAATAAAGGATATAAATATATCCATGCTGCTATATTTGAATTTTTTTATGATCACTTTCTATACTATAATGATTGTAAATTGATTTATCATGAAGGAGAATGTATGGAAAAGATGAGTAGAAATGTACTTATTAAGTAGATATTAAATTAAAATTGATTTAGAAACAAGGATGAATGAAGGAAAAGAGGTGACTTTATCGATGGATTAGATGAGATATTTGTGATTAGAGAGCTAAGCAATACAGGTAGTTATACATTTAAGTAGAGTTGCATTTGCAGTAAAGCTAGAATGAGAAATGAATAGATTTAAATTTTAGTAAATTAGATTTGCAGATGTATTTTAAGATAAAGGATTTTTAATTATTACAACTATTTTATTTTAATGCAAGAGTGTTTATCTCAATTTTTGACTTTTTAAGGGGACATTTGATTTTAATATTCATGAATTCTAGGATTATTTGTGATGATATTTTATTTGAAAAAAAATTATTTTGGTTATATTTTATTGAAAATTGCTTTTAGATTCAACAATAGAATTAGAAAAATTTGTTTTTAAAGGAGGAAGATTTGATTTGAAGAAGTTTACTGAGATTTAAGAGGAAGTTTTGACCAGTGTACATCACCAGATTTTATATCTCCAAGAGGTTTTGTTCTGTGTTCACAAATAAATCCGGTGAAGGAGAAAACCACAGGTTTGTTAACTGCAGACATAGGAAGATAGATTATTCCTGGCAACCACAAGCGCGAGCAGGACTGAGTAATACAATGGCGACAGAGTAGTTGAGGGAATTTAAGACATTGGGTTGCAGTGTCAGCAGACAGGAATAAAGAGAAATCTGTACAAATGGAAGGGGTTTCAAAAGATGTTGGATTCTGGAGCAACAATGCTTGTTGTTGCGAACTATCGAAGATGGAAAATTGTGAAAATTGTTCAGAATTTTAAACACAACTCAGACCAGTTTAAAAGAGGAATTGCAAGCCAGATTCCGTCTAGGTCTACAATTGAAGCTCAATTCTGTTAAATATACTCAATTTTATTATTGATTAATGTATGGTCTTATAAGAATTTTTGTTTGTTTTCACTTATTTTACTATTTTTATTTAAGAATTTATTTTAAATACTTAATGAGCAGGTTTCCAATATATATAGAAAATCCTTAAATATACAGTAGTGATCTCTGTTTGTCAGATTATAACTCTGGAGAACTTTTACCAACCTCAAATTTAAATGAGAGCACTTTGAAGTATAATGAGAATATTCTTAGTTTCAGGATGTTACTTCTTAGTTAAAAAGATTTAACTTTAATAAAACTTCTATGCAATACTGGGTTTACAAGATAGTAGATTAAAAATGAGCAGAAGAATGTTGTTATGGGTTTAACTGTAAAGAGGAATAGGCATTGAAGTAGTTTTGAAAGTTATCTAAAACTCTTTCAGTTAAATATTGCTAAAGAGGTTGTGCGTCAGACTGAGTTCTAACAATCAGCTGCCCATAGCAGTGTGGATTTTCTTCCAAAAAAAAATTGAGGATATTAAACCCCATTTTATGTTAAACTCCTCACATATACTGAACAAATTGACGGATCAGACGTAACAATTCAATGATTTCATAGAACAGAAAAATAAATTTTTTCTGAAGACCAAAAAGTAAAGAAAAATGCAGGAGTCTCTAACCTATTTCAGGGACTGTACAGTGTACAAGCCTAGATCCCAAAGCTTTATTCTAGTTCTAATCCATGAAGTACAGAAATCCAGAAATTCTTACATTTTAATTAAAAAATTTGATTTGCTTTAATTTCAATGACAAATAAAAGATTTGTGTACTTAACAAATTTTAATGTAGATGTCCAAATAATTGGATTTTTTTATTAACAATGTAGGGAAATGTTTTAAATTTTTTTTTTAATTTTAAACATTTTAGTTGTCTTTTACAAAAATCTTAATAATAAAAAACATTAGATTACGGAATTATAATAAACAATATGCCAGATATAAGTTTACAACGTATAAATAGATTTTAACAGGCATATAGAAAAGATTTAGGAGTGTCAACAGCATGCTAAACCTTGATTTAGTCAGAGTGTTTAAAACTCCTATGCTAAGAGTTTTTAATGAAGCAGTGGTGGAAATTGGTGGAAATACTTAACTAAAACATTACATTTAAAGAGACTTCTTTCAAAACAAATCTTAAGCAGCCTGCAGTCATCCCTTATTTGCACAAATAAGAGATTTATGTAATAAACTCATCCAGGCTGACACTCCTCTAAAACCCCACTGTGCACCAGTAGCTCTAGACCTTCTCAATTCAGATCTGAGAAGGTTAAGAGCTACTCTGCAAAGCACAGTTGAGAATGTTCACGATCTCATCTCTGACTGGTACTATGATAATTTAGTATATTCAGAGTGTAATTTAGAGCCATGACTTACAAAATAGTGGAAGGCTGTAGTCATCTCCATTTGCTCCTGAAAAATCACTATAAAAGGACTGATTTAATACGGTGGATGTAAATTATTTGTTTGTGATTACCCCAAAAAGTTTTAAATCTGGACAATAGAAAACTGATTCATTAGTTTATGCTCCTTGACCCCGTTTTCCTGTTTAATGCATATCAAAGAGTGATTCTCTGAACCAATTCAATATATGCAATATAATGAAAGTTATTTTGCAGTAAATTTAACCATTAACAATATAGTGAAAGTACTTTTACTTTTATGGCGTCAATTTTTTTAACATTCTCTATAAAAATAATGAAAGCTGTAACTTTTTTTGAGAGAGAATTGTACAAAATTTATGCAACATTTTATTTTGCATTATTTCTTTCATAACCCAAACATTTTACAATATCTTTGCTAACATAACATATTTATTATTCATAACTGAAGACCAAATTTAACTATCACAATGTCCTTACTTTATGGAGGTCTTGTGCAGTATTTGGAATTTGGAATTAAATAATTTTTTTTTTTATCAAAAAAAATATAATACCTCCTTTATAACCTTCAGGCTGGTCATCCATCGTTTCCACAAGAAACTTTTTTGACTCTCCTTAGCCCATTCAAACATTTCAGCTTTTTGCTGCCTATTTAATGACAAAGTGTATTCTGTGTACTGCTTAGGGAAAAATAGGGGCTATGCACATATAGACTTTTTTTAAAAAAGGTGTGATTGTTAACAAAACAAAAATTATGTTTGAAAAATTAACAATTGTCACTGTTTATTTGAAATGCATCTGTTTTTTTTCTGTTTTATAAACTATCTTTTTTTCAAGACCGGCTATTTTTCAAAAACTTGCTTTTTGTAAACAGATCTTTGCTCAGCCCTAGGCAAAAGTGGCACAACCAAAAGTGGTCTGCTTTCTTTCTTTAAACCTTAAAAAGCAGAAAAAGATATTGGAAGTTTGTCATTTTGTGCTTTATTTTTAAACTAGGCTTTTAGGGCGCTTCGCGCCCATCTTCTATTCAAATTGTGAACATGTTCTTTTTGTTTACATTTTAAAACAAAGAAGAAGAAATTGTTTAATCATATTGTTCAGTGAGATCATTTGTTCAGCAAAATTTTTAGTTCAATAAAATTGTTTGTTCAGTAAAAGAAACAACCCTTGATTTAAAAGTTTGCTTGAAATAATGGTTCATTCAGAACAAAAAAAATGAGTTCAATGGGGAATTGGCATGCAACGATTTTTCCATTCTGCTGGAAACCTTACTTCCAGCTAAAATTGTTTTTAAATGTTTGAATTCCTAGAGACAGTATAATGGTGATTGAAGAAAGAGACCAAATTATTTGATTGTTCATGATCAACTGAAATAATTTTAAGAAATGAGTAATTTATTATGATTATTTTTTAATTGGATAATGTAACAATCTTTCACTTTATAACACCACCTTTAAAATTTATCAGAATGCCAAACCGTAAATTATTTATGTTAAAAAAGTTTAGATCTTAAAACCACTGAATAACAGGAAATTAAAGATTTTATAAATATTTTGGACATTTTTCTGACATTGTTATTTGAACTTGTTTTATATCTCCCCCTCCTCCCCCCTCCTAGTCTTCTTTCATATTGTTTTATCTTAAAAATTATTTATAAAGTTTCATATTTATACGACTCTCTCTGCAATACAATTATTTTTAAATATTAATCTTCAATATTATGTTTAATTTATTTGAAAAAAAAATAAAAAATATGTTTATTTTAGCTAAGCAACAGACAACCCTAAACCCATAGAGTAAGGCAACGAAGAGGTAAAGCCAGTGGCGGCCATAAGCGGGATTATTGGGGTTATTTACCCCCCCCCCAGAATCCTGGGGGTAAATACCCCCCCTAGAATTCTAGGGGTAATTACCCCTGAACATATATTCAGGCCTATGAAGCCTTTATTAGATTGAGTTTGTAAATCCCAGAAATGAGTGGAAAATGCAAATCAAACCCAATTAAAACCAATAATTTGATATACATGATGATATTTTTCGAGAGGGGGGTAAAAAAATTTCCAACAAAATTTACTTTTGGTGGCAAAAGCCCTCCAATAACAGCGAGGAATTTCATTATTTTCAAATATTCAATTTTCAGAAACAGAGTGAAAAATTTTCAATTAGTTCACATAATTATAAAGAAAAATATAGAATAAGGGAATTACAGAAAAGTAGGTATGTTGTACAAGGTACAAAGGTACAACATGTAAATTGCTCAATTTGCTTACTGTTTAATAATAGTTTAAATTACAATTTACTATTAATGAAAGATTGTGTTTCACAATCACAACCGTGCCAGATTTTGTTGGGCCTGACCGTAAGCACCTAGTCTACTCTCCCTCCTTCTCATGATGAATCAAAAAGACAGTAATAGCTTCAAGTTTTAGTTTGGATCGGTGCTTCAGTCTGACAAAACAAAACATTTTTAGACTACAGAAAAGCTTTGACGAGCATAATACATCCATTCTCAATCAAAATACAACCATATTACTCTCATCTGGCGATAAAAACTGTAATCAAGCAAAATAATCATACAATACGATACAAAACATGTAAAACAAGATTTTATTAATTGAATAAAAATACTTACCACAATAGTCCTCCGACACTAGCATGATAATTAGCACAAAAGAACTTTACAATTAACTAAATCCATAAATATATGCCGGAAAAGATCACGTGAGTTCTTTGCGCCTGCGCAGTATATAAAACAATTGTCGGTAAAAACAGGTTTTTTGTCTTCAACACTTTCTTGGAAACAATCATCCAGAACAGGGATAAATAGTATAAACAGGGATACTACATAGACTCCTATGACACAGATTGTGCTAGTGTAACAGATTAATTAATGATAAGAAGACAAAAGTTTTAAAGAAATATAGATACAAAATCTAAATAATGATAATAATAATAATAATAATGAAAATAATATATTTCAAAGCAGATTCATTATTACATTAAATTTTATGGTCAATGTATAAATATATATATATTTTGCCGAAAAATAAAAATCTGTTACAGTATTTATTTATACATATATACAGTTTGTCTCTAGTTTGATGACTAATAAAGTCTAGAGACTGTTTGAATCAACACATATGATACAATATTGTTTTGGGCTGATCCTCATGGGCAGCCGTAGTACATTTGAATTTCCGAGCCGGTTCAACCTTTCCGGTCCCAGTTTGTACTGTACCTGGCTCTATGGACAGGACTAGACGATGCAAAAAGGTTGACGCGGTCCGAGTTTATGCTTCAAATAGGTTGAATTTACTTTTACTAAAGGGGCAGAGGTGCGTGTCCTTTCGTGAAGTGATGAGAGCAAGATTGATGTGAAGAATGGTTAGTGATTCCTTGAGTGCAGGCCGGAACTGCAGCAATAAAAATATTTATTAAATTACAGTATGCCCAGCTGGAAAATTTCTCTCGATCGGAATTCCGATTTCTGACTTGAGGAATTCCGGCGTAGGAATGAAATCGCTCCGATTTTCCATTCCGATCTGTTCCGATCGTACATTAAGCGGAGATCGATAGCGTAAACAGGGCGGATGAACCGAATAATAAGAAGTTAATCTCAAATCGGTTAGATCTTGCGGCTTCAGGTAAATTTAAGGTACTGCTCAGTCTATCCCCCTCCCCCTCTGACGTAGACCTTCTCCTCCCTGTGCCCCGCATGGCAAATTAGGAAATGAGCTCATACAAATTTCACCACACTTAAACATGTTCCCCCATAAATTTCCAATCTGGCATTTATAGAATATTAAGTAGGTTAAATTAAGCCCAAATCCAACAATTTATCGCCCTATCACATCAGGTTACCAAGATATGTAGGGATTATCAAGTTAATCTCAAAGAATAGAGTTATCCCGCTCAGTCACTTGACATATTTTTCCGAACTGGCAAATATATCAAGGATGAGAGATAGCTCAATAAATTAGACTCAATCAATTGTCATTCCTAACATGATCAACAACATTCAGGATTTATCAATTGATCTCAAGGCAGAGTTATTCTCCTCACTCACTCAATATATTTTTCCTATCTGGCAAATACACTAACGGTGAGGGAATAGCTCAATAAATTAAATCTCTTGGTATAATCCAGTGTTCGTCCCTTCAAGATATTGACCAGGAAGGTACAGACGATGGATCATAAAGCTCAGGTATACTGCTTTCATCCAATCATCCAATTATGAGCATTCCAACAACATTCAACTTCATAACTTAGACTTTGTTCGCTCGGTCCTTCACTATATTTTCCCAATTTGGCCAATATACTGACAACGAGAAACAAATCCAGTTTATAAATTCAACTAGACGTCCCTCCTCAATTTACTAGATATAAAATCTAATAAATGATAAGAGTTAGGACTGTTGAAGGATCTCAGTTTAATAAAGCTTCCTTGTAAGCTTGTTCCTACGTCAGTCCGTATATTTTCCAATTCAGGCAATATAGCGGCAACGAGAAACTTTTTGCTCAATCTTAATTAGTTAACCGGTACCCTACAAGGTTGCGATTGAATGTTTCGCTACTTAGCGATTTCCCTAAAGACCTAATGAAATCTTTATAAGTACCGAGTGGTATTTCTCTGGACAGGATTGTAAGACTTCCTTCTCTCAACGCTCTCCATAACAAAAGGATGATAGTAAGGTTCCGAACGTTTATTTCTCTGAGTCTTCAATCTAAATAATCTTTTATAAGTCCACAGAAAAAGCATTGAGTGATAAATCATACAAACACAGCAATAAATCAACTCAGGCATTAAAAAACTGTGGAAAGGAACCAATACATTACATTATAAGATATCAACCATAACCGAGCATAAATAAGCAAGTTTCATATAAATATAAAGCATAATTACCGCAGTGATCCTAGAAACTTCACACGGTTTAATAATAGACGATCTTTACATAAAAAACGAATATATACTAAGGTAGAATCTGCCCTCTTCCACGCAGAAAACTTGCACATGCGTAGTCGGTCTGGAAACAGCTTCTAAAACTAGTTTTTTACAATACGTTCTGTACAGATCCTCAGGGAGAACTCAGGGATTCACAGGGGCATCACATAGACTTTATGAATGCAGCATGGCTCGCGTAACAAGGACACATAATATTGTTACGAGAAATATTTGTATAGGCTGAAACCTGAGAATCTCAGGAGTTGATAAGAGTTCTATCTGATGTTCCTGTCTCGCGAAATTGATATAAAACTGTGTCAAAATTATACCTAAACGTATATATATATTTTGACACAGTTTTATGTCAATTTCTCGAGACAGAAATATCAGATAGATGTCATATAGAGGTATCGGTTCAACTCCTGAGATTCGATCGGGTTTCAGCAAATACCCCATTTCGTTTTTCCTTTACAGTCCCTTTAAAGCTGAAAGAAGGCTTATTGGCCTGTAATTACATGAGCTGTTTAACAAAGAAGTTTAAATTGTTTTACTTTTCTCGATAAAAGGAAACGATTCCGATCATAGCACAGTGAAATTTCCTAGCTAGCAAACTAACAGATTTTGGTTATACCGCCTCGTAGAAACGACAGACTACGCCAGAGTTCCTGCAATAATTACAGGCCAACAAGTCTTCTTCCAGCTTTAAAGGGACTGTAAAGGAAAAATTAAAGGGCAAAAGTGAGATTATGAAGTATTTGTTTTAAGGGTGCCACCCCCCCCCTCAGGTGCCCCTGTGAGTAAGGTAGGTTACATGAAGACTTTATTTGATAGATTTTGTTAATTGCCGGAAATGAGTGGAAAATTAAAATCAAACCTAAATAATACCAATTAATTTGATATACATATTACATACATCATGATATTTTTCCAAAGAGAATAGAGTATTCTAAATTTAGACTTAATATACTTAAATATGTTCGTTTGGACTAATTTAGAAATACGGAATGAATATATATATTTGAAAATTTGGCTTTCGTTCAAACTTCAATTTGATATTTTTTGATAATTTTAACAATTAGATGTGTTTTTGTATAGAGTTTATCGAATGTCGTCTTTGGCGTGAGGAAAAATGAGCGTATACAGGGTGTCCCGCGAAACATGACAGTTGGTGAATAATTTAGAATGTCTTTTTCCATAATTTGTTGAGTACTTTGGTACCAAAGATTTATAAAAATATTATACGGGAGTCATTTAATATTAAAATTGATTTCAAAGTAAAAGATAATGAAGCAAAAGGATTTTTTAACTAAAAGTAACGATTTTTAAATGTCATGTTTCGCGGGACGCCCTGTATTTCTTCAAACGTGTTTCATCAAATATACTTTACAATAAAACAAGATTAAATTAACTTTCAAATTTGTTTAATACGTTTTTTCTTGAAATGCTGAAAGTTACAAATATTTTAAAGAATATATTTTGCCTGACAAATATTTTGCCGGTTTACCGCCAAAATCTTGTTGTCAGCTGATTATTAAACAGTTAACGCTCATTCCCAACGTTTCACACACTACAGATATGATATATCTATTGTTTATAAAGCATGTTAGAGTTTGTATTTTAATGAAGAACGTTTTGACGCTAAAACTAATGTTAAATGCTTATATCTGTAAAATAATTAATTCATAAATTTATTTCAGAATAGAAATATTAAAAAATAAAATGGCAGGTGAAGATATGCCTACCTTTAAACTTGTTCTAGTTGGAGATGGTGGCACTGGTAGGAGCTGCTTTTATTACATTAATTGTACACAAAATGTGTAGACATAATGTGTAATAGTTATCCGTCTACATGACAAGTCTTATCACATTCACACCGTAAGAATTGCTAATTAGATTTCCATCAGAAACTGAATGCAAAATTGTTAGTTCCACGGTTATTTCCTAGATAACGATTTTGGACCTCCCCCCCTGATTTGATGTAGCTTATTCTAAGATTATTCATATATAGAGATACGACAAGCTAGTATAATTTTGATGTCTAGAGAAAATTGAAAGCAGCACTTTCTCGGTCGTACGCATGGCATTTTTGTTGCTGATTTATCATTTGTTTATGCTTTACAACACCAAATGTGTACTATTGTATCAACAATGTATACAACAAATTGTATTTTATGAAAAAAGTTAAACAATGCTAATTAAACAAAGGTAGGTTAAAAGATTTTTTTTGGTTCACTCAAAGCAAGTAGGTGACATGTTTTCTGGAAAAAAAGTTGTAATTTAATAGAAGTAATTATTGTAAGAGTTAATCATAACCTTGAATTAATATGGTCATAATGAATATGTGTAATGAAATGTAATTATAAATAGTATGAGGGAGGGGGGTATTACAACACATAGTAATACTGTAATACAGATTTTGTTTACTAATTACAAATAAAAGACAACCTCATTAACACAGTATCCCTTGAGGAACGTCAAATTGAACAAAAAAGACCCCCCCCAAAAAAAAAAAAAAAAATTTTGCCATTTTTTCTGTCTTGCTAGAATTCGTTCAAAAAAAAAATTTTTATTCTTAATCCACCAACCCCAATATCTTAATTGCATATTTTGGTAACAATTTAAAATCAAATATTATTCAAATATCCCAAGAAAATCATATGAATAAATAGATAATATTTCCGGATCCAGAAAGTCAAAATGTAACCAACGGATCTAGAGCCTAAGCACTGACCAAAATATCAAGCATGGTTGTTTAAGTAATTTTTAANAACTCCCCCCCCCTTCCTACTTTGGATAATTTCATATTTTTATTTAGGTTCATCCGCTTGTTTTCCACACAAACAGAGGAGCTATTAGGTAAATTTTACTAGAAACCTTCTTACCTAGTTTTTTGTTATTTTTGCAGATCTGGATCCTGAAAGCCCAAATGTTACGGATCCGGATCCTAAGGACTGCTTTAAACTATGAAAACTGGCTTATGTTATATTTTAACATTTTATACATTCAATTGAGAAAATACTGTTTTAAGGTTTAATGTTTGGGACACCGCTGGACAGGAGAAGTTTGGAGGTCTTAGAGATGGATATTATATCCAGGTATTTATATTTTATAGATGGATATTATATCCAGGTATTTATATTTTGTAGATGAATATTATATCCAGGTATTTATATTTTGTAGGTGGATATTATACACAGGTATTTATATTCTGTAGATGGATATTATATCAAGGTATTCATATTCTGTAGATGGATATTATATCCAGGTATTTATATTTTTTAGATGGATATTATATCCTGGTATTTATATTTTGTAGATGGAAATTATATCCAGGTATTTATATTCTGTGGATGGATATTATATCAAGGTATTCATATTCTGTAGATGGATATTATATCCAGGTTTTCATATTCTTTAGATGGATATTATATCCAGGTATTCATATTCTGTAGATGGATATTATATCCAGGTATTTATATTCTGTAGATGGATATTATATCAAGGTATTCATATTCTGTAGATGGATATTATATTAAGGTATTCATATTCTGTAGATAGATATTATATCAAGGTATTTATATTTTTGTAGATGAATATTATATATAGAGATATAGAAGTATCAAACTGTCAAGCCTTTTTTTACTTTTTTTAATAGTCTCTTTTTGGATACCCTGTAGAAGTAAATCCCCTGGATGAAGCTAGTATTTCCGTTCAAAAGTTTACACTGTGAATATCGAGTTCTGCCAAGTGCAAATCAATCCAACTAATAGTTTTGTCGCCGGTTTACGCTCTACGAAACAAAAACTCGAATGAAATTGATCCTTCAAAATTTTGATGTTTTATGACGCAGATTCTAAAGATTATTCAATATTGTTTCTTAATCTTTTGGGGGGCGGGGTTTGTGAGGAGTGTTACACTAAACGTTTTAGCACTTTTAAACTGTCAAGAGAGTTTTTGGAGATCTAATTAAGAAAAAGAGCTGCGCTAAATATTTGTCATGTCCAAACTTGCATATCTGAATCTGGAGCAACAAAAAAATATCTGTTTTAGATTAACAACATTTATTTCCTCTAGGGCCAGTGTGCTATTATTATGTTCGACGTCACCTCCCGTGTAACGTACAAAAATGTTCCAAACTGGCACAGGGACCTGGTCAGAGTCTGTGAAAATATACCCATCGTACTCACAGGTCGGTATTCAGTATTCACCTAGACTTAATGGGGAGGGGGGGGGGGGCAAATTCAGTGCTCAGGATGTTAGGATCAATTTCATGATCCGTATCCGCCCAGGGGAAAAAGATGGATTCGGATTCAGGTCATAGAACATTCACTGTTTTCATAACAAGTAAATTTATTATTATTCTTCTTTTTTGCTTATTTTTATGCTAAAACTTTAAACTTTTTCTGAAATGAAGAAAAAATATTATCTCTTTTTATAAAATCTGGGTCTTAGGAGACACATATTTTTGCAGATTTTGGTGTGGATCCGGATCTTAAGAACCGGCTAAAATTAAGAATAAATATTTACTTTAAATTCACCACAAAATTGATTTTCAAAGGTGTGTGTATTTTTAAGAATTTTTGGGAGGGGGGTGGGGGATTGTTTAAAATACAGACTATTTCAGTTTAATTTGATGTATCTGCACTTATTTTTACGTACTTTTTACCTTGTTTAAAATTTAAATTTACCACAAAGTTAATTATTACAGGGGTGTATATTTTTCAGTATTTTTTAATGAGGGTTGGCTAAAATACAGACCACTTTATTTGAGTTTGTGATATTTCTGCCTTTTTTATACACTCTTTACATTGTTACACAATTTACTATGACGTTAGTCAAAATTTTCTTTTCCTATCTATTATTTTCATTATTATGTTATCAGAGCCCGCAATTTAAAAGCTTAGACTCGGGTTCTAATTCCTTGACCCAATCTTCGACCCAACTCCGACGACAGCTTGTGTCACATGCTGCAAGATCTTAGGCTCAACTTAGAAGTTAGGCCCATCGAAAATGAAACCGACCTGGCCTTGGTTGGTTTTAGTGGAGAATAAGGCTCGATGTTGAGTCTTATTCTCATAAAAACTTGGAATGCGACAATTCCTACCAGGAAAATTCGTCAAATAAAATATTAAGCCGGTTTTTTAAATCAACAATAAGATGCAGCTTGAATCCGAAAGCTCTAGCCGTAAATAAGGCCCAATGACAGATTAGACTTGAGTCGTAATTTTTTCAGTTTTTTAAATCGCCGGCTCAGTATACGTACTTAAAGTAAAATGAATTTGTTGTAAAATTTTGTTTTTTTCAGGAAATAAGGTTGATATTAAGGACAGGAAGGTGAAAGCAAAAAGCATTGTTTTCCACAGGTAAAAATAAAATAATTTGTTAAGTTTAAATGTTCGGAAAATGGGATCTCGTAACCTATCGCTGCTGAGTGAGAATCTTTTCCATTTTGACGTGGACCGTGGACTTCTTATATTTTTGACCTGGACCCTGGACTTTATATATTTTTGTAGATTTGTCAAATAAGATATTTTTGAGAAAAAAATATCAGTTTATATTTTCCACTCCACATACACTTCGATCTACAGAGATGTATATTTTGCGCTCCATACACCTCGATCTACAGAGACGTATATTTTGCACTCCACATACACCTCAATCTACAGAGATGTATATTTTGCACTCCACATACACTTCAATCTACATAGATATTTATTTTGTACTCCACATACACTTTAATCTACAGAGATGTATATTTTGCACTCCACATACACTTCTTTGGGGGAAGTATCAAATAGGATACAATAGCTTACTTTTTGATGTCCAATCATTCAAATCCCACGTGGAGGAGGGAGGGGGTGTAATGTTTCTAATTTTATGCATAGCATTTTTCTTGAAATAAATTTTAATCTTAAATATTTGTAGGAAAAAGAACCTACAGTATTATGATATCTCCGCGAAGAGTAACTACAACTTCGAGAAACCCTTCCTTTGGCTCGCTAGGTAACATTTTACGCATTTTTAAACTAACAAGATGTTTTCCCTTATTAAATGGTTTAGATTTGGGATCTTTTTTACCATCTATATACAGGGTTGTCCATAAAGAATGAGACATCAGAGACGACTATCAGAATTTATTTTGTCGGTTTCCTTAAATTGATAATTCCATACTAAACTTCACATTTCTTTGCTTAACGACTAGCAAGCCATTTAAAGACCACATCCAAGACAGAATACGTAATTTAAACTTACATTCAAGACAAAATACTTAATTTAATCTTACATTCAAGACAAAACACTTAATTTAAACTTACATTCAAGACAAAATACTTAATTTGAACTTTCATTCAAGACAAAACACTTATTTTAAGCTTACATTCAAGACAAAACACTTATTTTAAGCTTACATTCAAGACAAAACACTTATTTTAAACTTACATTCAAGACAAAATACTTAAATTAAAGTTACATTCAAGACAAAACACTTAATATAAACTTACATTCAAGACAAAACACTTCATTTAAACCTACATTCAAGACAAAACACTTAATTTAAACCTACATTCAAGACAAAATACTTAATTTAATCTTACATTCAAGACAAAAACACTTGATATAAACTTACATTCAAGACAAAGTACTTAATTTAAACCTACATTCAAGACAAAATACTTAATTTAAACTTGAGATTGTCGTATTTGACTTTACAGTCTCATCCTTTGTAGGTATCCATGTATACTGTCTAGTGTATATCATTTGGAAACGGTTTGGGGGAGATGTTGTATGTAGAAAATTTTTTAACTTCTTATAAAAGTTGATTCGAACTGAAAAATATACTTTGAACATTTAAAAATTAATTGAGATTTTGGGATTTTTTCTGAGACAGAAAAAAAAATACGAAAAAGTCTACTTCTGTTTAGGAAACTGATCGGAGACCCTAACCTTGAGTTTGTTGCTATGCCCGCCCTTGTGCCTCCAGAGATCACTATGGACCCTAACTGGCAGGCCCAGATTGAACAGGATATCAAGGTGGGTTTGCTTACTTAAAAGAGACTGTTAACGTGATTTTAAGTGATCCTTAAAGGGACTGTAAATGAAAAATGAAATGAGGTATAGGATGAAACCTGAGAATCTCAGGAGTTGAATGATACCTTTAAGATGTTTCTGATGTTCCTGTCTCAAGAAATTGATATAAAACTGTGTCTTTATACGAAAATTCATTTATGCAATTTTTTATAAAAGTTGTAGTATAAAACAGATCATATTCAACAAATACGCAACCAATCTGAAAACGACGATGTCCCACAGGAGCCTGAGAAATGAGAATCTCAGGTTTGCTCCTATTATAATTTTTAAATTTTTATTTTGCATTTTTGATTGATATAATGATAATATTATTACATATAGTCCACATAGTCTACATGGTATGTATTACTTCACCAGAGCTTAAGCCAATGGCAGTGCAGTATCGTTGTCACGTGATACAGGCGGAAATCACGTGACCAGTATACTGTACTGTCATCGGCTGAAGTTCTGGTGACAAAATACGCACAATATGTAATAATATTATCAATTTTATCTATTAAAAATGCAAAATTCAAAGAAAAATAATTATAATAGGAGCAAACCTGAGATTCTCAGGCTCCTGAGGGATGCATTCGTATTTAGATTGGTTGCGAAATTGTTAAATATGATCTGTTCAATACTAAAACTTTTATACAAAATTGTATATACACGAATTTTTGTTTAATTTTAACAAAGATGTATATCAATTTTTCGAGACAGGAACATCAGATAGATGTTTCATGCGTATCAATCAACTCCTTGAGATTCTTAGGTTTCATCCTATACCCCCTTTAATTTTTCCTTTACAGTCCCTTCTAAGTTCAAGAGATACAATTCACTATGGTAAACTTGACCAAGAGAAACAGTTTTGTTCCGTCAATTTTCTTCCTTTACCCTGCTGCATCAATCTGAAAGTCCCTTTTAATGAGATATTGTGTTTGAAATTTATCAATTTTTACAACAAGTCAATTCGTTGTGTAATTACTAACAGATTAAATTTAAAGCAAGTCCACATTGCAACCTTATTTTGAGACCTGCACATTTGTTTAGCGAGGTCTCATATTTTATTTATTAAATTTATTATAAACGTGGGCAATTAGTATTAAGCATGTCTCAACTGGATGGCTAATACTAAAGTTTCTATTTTAAAATCGATCTTTTTTTACTTGCATTTGGTATCGGGAGGATCGATTTAGTAATTTAATAATGTATTAATTTATTGAACTGATAATTAATAAACTTCGGGCCACCCACTCAAAACAACCAACCCTGGTTAGGCGGGTCCAAACTGCATAGTAAATTGTGATTGCTTATTTGTAATATCTCATGCTTTGTACTTGAATACATATATGAATATGAATATTTTTGACGGATTTATGTGTAGCTTGATAAATTGTTTTATGGATTGACAAAAGGATTGTGTATGATTACTGGATTTGCTGATTAGCAGAATTGGATGGATTGAGGTTTGATTGATCGACGATTGGCTAATTAATGAATTTTTGATTGATTAAAGTCTGATTTATTGAAGGTTGGCATGATTGATTGATTGCCGTTTGTTCGATTTTAATTTGGTTGATCGATTATTTATGATTATTTCAGGAAGCTGCCGAGACCGCTCTCCCAGAGGATGATGAGGATCTTTAAATCAATCAATCATTCGGAAGATCAATCAGTGATCGATCACCTTGATCAATAGAACAATTGAAAGTATGTTGGCAGATCCATCATGATGAACTTGATCTATAGTACAATCAAGTAACCAGGCAGATCAACCACTTGATCAATGAACAATCAATTAATCTGGAAGATCAAGGAAAGATCATTCTTCAACTAATCGACCCGGAAGATCAATCTTGATTACAAATACAATCGTTCTTATAATATTTTTTATACAGCTTACCCGACATTCTGCATTTAATAATCTTTTTAAGGTCAAATAAATCTAAACCAGAATCTTAGTATTTTACATTTTATTATTTGAGTTGGAGAATGACGTTTTTTAGTTTTGTTTATAATTTAAAGGGACTAAACGACAATGTCCGATTTACAATAGCACCAAAGCTTTGTCTGAATAAGAATGAATGAGATACCCATGTTAAGTTTATCTAAACTGATTATTTTCATTTGTGGCTTCTCTGCTAACGTGACAAGCGCATTCCTTGCTCATAAGAAGAAATGAAAGAAATTACAATAGTTTTCTTGTCCGTAAAACCATGGTACTAGGAAAACTGTATTCTGAAATACTTCGTCTGCCAAAGTTCAGAATTGCGTTAGTGTTTGAGTGTAAAGCTGTTATACTTAGTAAAATGAGAGAAAATAGTTAACAAACACAGTACAGTTGTTCCTCTTTACTATTTTGCTTTCAAAAATACATAAAAAATACTCTAGCAGACGTAACGCGCTAGTTCTTAACAGGAACTATCTCGAATTCGCCTCATAATCTTAATGTTTACTGGGACACCCTTTATAATGATGATTCTGTAAAGCATATACCGCAAGTGTAGTTTTCTAGAAAGGATTTGAATATAAAGTAGTTTTAACAGGTTTTACTACTGCGGCAGTTACACACTTAATTTTCAAACCAACCTTAAACCAGTTCTTGGAATTATTCAAACCCTAAGGGATCCTCGGGACATGGTTGAGAATTACGAGTTCTTTGAATTCAAGCACAGCGAGGGTGTATATTTTACTAAATATTTTCATGACATAAATTTTATTTTCTCCAGAAGTTATGCTTGTTTGCAAGTAATTTATTTTTGGTTTTATTTGCTTAACGCAAATACATTTTGTGGGTAATAAGTAGATGAAGGTTGAAAAACTTTCCTTTCATTTCCAGTTTTTTTTTCAGATCTAAAATAATCTTTGATATCAAAATACGTACCCCTGAAGCTCAAAGGTCCACACGTAATGCCTTGAGTTAGTTTTACTTTATTCACTCACTCTACTTATCTGATAGCCCTGAACATGTACGTCTAAGACGTATAAAGCGGTTGCGTGTAGCTTTAGGTTAAAATAAATTCGAATCAGTTTTGCGTGAGAGCTTGCAAACTTCATTACAAAGAAGGGAAAGCTTTATTTTTAAGAGTTAGGCTGAAATTACTAAAAATATATACCTTTGATTACTAAAAATATATACCTTTGATTACTAAAAATATATACCTTTGATTACTAAAAATATACACCTTTGATTACTAAAAATATACACCTTTGATTACTTAAAATATATACCTTTGATTACTAAAAATATATACCTTTGATTACTAAAAATATATACCTTTGATTACTAAAAATATATACCTTTGATTACTAAAAATATATACCTTTGATTACTAAAAATATATACCTTTGACTACTAAAAATATATACCTTTGATTACTAAAGATATAAACCTTTGACTACTAAAAATATATACCTTTGATTACTAAAAATATATACCTTTGATTACTAAAGATATAAACCTTTGACTAGTAAAAATATATACCTTTGATTACTAAAAATATAAACCTTTGACTACTAATAAATTTAATATTTGTTAGTACAGGGTTACACACAAAGAATGAGAATTTAAAGACAATCTGAAACTGAAACGATCCCAAAAGTCTTCGGGCTTATTTAATGATTTGGTAAAAAAAAAGAAACAAGTTTTCAGTCGCATGGAATTAGGGACGGCTCAGTTTCATTTGCCAAAACTACACTTTTCATAACACCTTTGCCATAAGTAACACTTTCCATAAGTCACACTTGCCATAATTACACTTTCTATAATTCCTTTTGTCATAATTTTCTAATTTTTAAAAAGATGTAAATCTGTCTTTTTTTTGCAAATGCGGGAAATTTTCCCATGAAAATTCCCAACTCTAGTTTTCTCATTGTTTTAAAACAGAACAGTTGATATAAGTTCAGCTCCATATTTTCTCACAATGGAGAACACTTTGGTTAGCAAGTGTAAATTGTGGCAAGTGTTACTTATGGCAAATGTATTATGGCATATGAAACTGAGCCTCAGGGACAAAATGAAGGAAACAGACGGTGGACATTTTTGTCGGTTATTACACTGATGTACAGAGCGTCCCATATCATATTAGATCATCTCGTCACACTTTAGCTCCAAAATAAACACATACTACTCGAAAAAAATCCCTAGCTTTTTTGTAAGAAAATTTTTGTACTAGCCTTATTCAATTTTTCAAAATGATTCATTGTTCTTAAATTTTCTGATAAGTCCCGGAAAACATAATTCAGTCAAGATCTGATATGATGTGGGACACCCTGTAGCTGAACTAAAAACATGTTGTTTGACTAATCAAGGGCTGTTCTAATGTGTTTATTTTAGTAGCTTAGCTCGATTATTTTAGTTTCAACAGATATATTTTGTTGTGTAACCTATAACAAAATAGTTGGAAACTACTACATTAAAAACCAGAAAACTCTAAAATTGCAGCAAAACGACTTAACAACAATACTTAAGCAAATGACTTTACTAGTAACTAAAAATCACTAATAAAGTGAAATGGGTCAGTAAACTGCACAATTGCTGTATGCCATGCTCAATGTACTATTCAAAGTCATAACTTGATTCCAAAAATCGTCTTCCTATTCCAGAGTGCTGTGGTTATCACTGTACATAATTATTGATTACTTCCTAAATAGCAAAAGTGAAAGCGCTATGGGTAAAAAAAAACCTTTTCTGAAATAACATTTGGATCCTGTTATTATTCAGAGAGTCCAAAAATACTTTGATGATGCAATTTTAATTTTTGATATTCAATGATTAAGTAGATGTTGGATTTCTGAGTGGTGGGTCTGGCACTAAACTAGAAAATTGAGAGGAGAGAATACAGAGTTAACCACTAAGCATGAGATTTCAATACTATCTGTTTCCTTATAATTAATGATTCCCTGCAACTGTAAACTTGTTTTTAATTATTTTTCCTAATCATTGAATAAGCCATAAAAAGATTACATTCAAGGTAGAAAACTTAAATTATAATCAAAGAGGTTCAGGTCGTCTTCATAGTCTCATCCTTTGTGGTTAACCCTGTTAAGTATGTCTAACGGGTATGATTTTTGAAGCAATCATCATTCCTTGGATTTATAAAATAATTTTTTAGTGGGCCTGAAAAAACCGGAGATTTAAACCAACACTAACGGATCCAAGGAGCAAAATGTCAGCAACTGCAAACAAAAATCTTTTGCTCATAAAGCCCAAACCTTAACAAAAAGAGAGATTGTCAAAATTATCCCTGTCTCTGAATTGATCATCAAAATAAAGAAAAAATAAGAAAAATAATTTTAAAATTCTTCTTCTGTTAAATGAAGTCTGTAAATATTAAACATATTTTTTTCCAGTGCGGATCCAGGCATCAGACATAAATGGACTTGCAAAGAAAGTCTTCAATATTTTTGTAATTTTGTAGTTTAAATGTTTGTTGATCTTCTTTAAGCACCACATTCATTTAATGTTTTAACCCATAAAAAGCCATTGAGTAGCAATAAGGAGTTTATTTACTTTAACATCTACAGGCTTTATAGGTTTTCACGTTTATTTCCCCAGGGGGTATGAGAGGGGTGATGGAAGCAAGAATGACTGTTATGTTCATGTTAATGTAGACAGGCCCGTAACTGGGTGAAACGAAGTGAACGAGGGGGGGCGCAGGGGGAAGTGCCCCCTGCATCTAAAAATTTGATTTTTCAGTCTGAAAAACTAATAATTTTACCTTATATTTGTGAAATGGTACACACAAATAATTACACTTTGAAGTCACACTTTTAAATTGCTTTATTATATAACATTGAACCGTCATTAACACAGTATTTTAACTAAACTATATTATCTGGAAACAAAATAATCGTTACTTCCCGACTAGACCAGATAGCGTAGATTTTACGCAGACCCCGTCGAATGCGTTGATTTCGACGCTACAAAATTTTAAAAAGGAATTTTTTTAAAATATGTTGAAACCCGATATCAGACCCCTCCATTTTCCCCCCATATTCTTCACCCCCCTTCCCTTTTTGGCCCAGAGACGAAATACACTCTTGTAGTATAGAGGGGGGGAAGGTAGAATAGACTTGTATTTAACAGATGGGATCGCCAGGGGGGGGGGGGCTTTATACGATCTGGAAAGACTAGATTTAGCTAACAAGCTGATATATCAGCTAATTTTATTTCAAGTTAAACTAATACAGCTATTATAGATATTTAATACATAATGCAAACTTACAATTATGAATATTTTATACAAGTTTTAATAAAATTTTCTGACTGTAGCTGCAGGTTCAATTAGCAATTATAGTTGTATTTGTATGAATCTCATGATGTCCTTTCCCGGCTTTCATCAAATATAAAAGATGCAAGGCCGAGTGAGGACAAAATGAAAAACATTAAACTTCGATCACCATCTTTTATTCCGCCATTTTCTGTTTTTCTGGAACTTTTCCTTCCATTTTCTGATTTTCCTTTCAACTTGATTAAGCACCGCCATTTTCTGCTTTTTCTTTCAACCTGAATAAACATTGTCATTTTCGGCCTTTCCATTCATCGTGTATCATTTCTCATCCCTTTCTTTCATCTATGCAGTAAACCTTTGACAAAAATCTTTTTTTTTTTCAATTTCATTGTCATGCATTTAAGAAAAGTATTTTTACATTCAATTTTAAACTTTAAAGATGTATTATCATATATTGACAGGTTTAAAATTATACGAGTTTAGTATAAAATTACTAAATTGCTAGTTAAAATATAAATGAAATTTTTTTAATTGTTGGAATATATGTATTGGAATATTCCTCTATTTCTAGCTGGATGTGGGGACTGCACTGGGGAGGGTGTGTACTGCTAATATTGATTTCTTGGTTCACTTATTCTCAATTTGTTTCTGATGATGTGAACACTAATAATATGCTCCATCTTCTTTTTTTACGGTTTCACCTTACAGCTGTTGATTATTTACCACTTCAGTTTTAATCGTTTTCTGTCCGCATTTTTAGTAATTTTCTGTCGCCATTTTTAATTATTTTCTGTCCGCCATTTTGAATCATTTTCTGTCCGCCATTTTGAACTATTTTTCGTCCGTAATTTTCTCATCCATACTTGAGCTTCATGTTGAGTTTTACGAGATCTTGATTTTGTTTTGTTAGAAGTTCAACCTTAGTCTCGAATTGATCGACCAGCCGTAACCGGGCAGATTGCTGAAAAAAACACATCTTTTAACAATAATTACAATTTACTCTCAAACGAATATCTTCACAATAACAAATATGAAAAGTTCTAATCCAGTATTATTACATTTAATATTGGTAGCTCGAGTGGGTTTCAAGATGTAATTAATCCTAACTGTAAATATTTCTTGTATTAACCTAAAATCTCTAATTTAGCCCCTCTACATTTCTGATATCCCTCTTCAACACTCCCCCCCCCTCCTCCAAAACTTAATCCTACTTTTCCCTTGGCCCTCATCAAAACCACTCACTGCTCTTAACCCTGTCATGGTTTAGCCCTCCCCCCCCCCAAAAAAAAATATAAGCTCTTAAAATTGACCCTCCTAATGCTTATTCTTTCCAAACCTTTCTTTTCAACCCATTACTGCGCGCGCAATGTAAGCACATCCTTTTACCTTTCCATCCTGCTCTCCCCTTCCTACCTTTCCTACCTTACTTCCTTCCGTACCTCCCCTTCTTTGTTTACTTTTAATCAGAAACCATCAGGACTAGACCACATGGTTGAATCCCACACGTTTTAAAATAATCAATACTTGAGGGGAAATGTAGCAGCTAAATTTAGACAAAACAGTTTTCAATCAAATAAAACTCCAACTCGCCTTCGCATAAAGTTAAAGGGACTGTAGAACGTAGATATAATTTCTAGTGACCTTTAATTACAATAGAGTGGCATGCGGATCCATGGATCCGAATCCAAGGGTCAAAATAGCAACCAAAAACTGCAAAACTACTCTCTAAAGTCAAATATGAAATGTTGAAAAAGAGAAATTATAACAATTTCCTGATCTCTGAAAGGTTCATTAAGTTTTAGTATAAGAAAGCAAAAAAATCCGGATTTGGATCAGGATTCGGATCCATTTTTTTCCAGTGCGGATCCAGGACCCGCATCAAAATTTAATGGATCCTATAGCACTGAATTAAAAATTACCTCTTCCTCTTTCAGAACTGATTTTTTAGCCAAATCCTTCCTCTCCTGGTAAAGTTTATCTAACTCTATCTGGGATCAACCAAAATATTTTTTTTTAATTGTTATATTTTTTTTCAGAAAATTTAAACAATTTTTTTTAACTTTTGACCCTAATTTTATTTAGGATTTAGTTGATTCCTTGTAATTAGAATTTAATTCTTCTTTGGATATTAGAACTTCTTCGAGATCTGTAATCTAAATAAATAAAACAATGAAAATAATAATAATTATTAAACAAGAGAAAATAATAATGATAATTAATTATTTAATAATGATTTTATCAGTAGTAATTGAAACTATTTTATTTCTTAAAATTTCTCCTAAGATCGAAACTAGCAGGGTGTCCCATATCTATAGATTGTCTCCTAGCTTTAACGACAAAATACGCATCTACTTCTAGAAGACCTAGCCTTTTCTGCATGCCAATTTTTATATTAGCCGTTTACAATTTTTTAAACATGATTCATTAGTCCCGAAAATCACAGTTTAGAGCTATTTACGATCCAATATGATGTGGATGATAATGGCAATGTTAACTTTAATGTTAATGTTAATGTTAATATTAATGTTAATGTTAATGTTAATGTTAATGTTAATGTTAATGTTAATTTTAATGTTAATGTTAATGTTAATGTTAATGTTAATGTTAATGTTAATGTTAATGTTAATGTTAATGTTAATTTTAATGTTAATGTTATTGTAAATATAAATGTTAATGTTAATGTTAATGTTAATGTTAATGTTAATGTTAATGTTAATTTTAATGTTAATGTTAATGTTAATGTTAATATTAATGTTAATGTTAATTTTAATGTTAATGTAAATGTTAATGTTAATGATAATGTTGATGCTGATGTTAATGTTACTGTTAATGTTAATGTTAATGTTAATGTTAATGTTAATGTTAATGTTAATGTTAATGTTAATGTTAATGTTAATGTTAATGTTAATGTTAATGTTGATGAATCCAGCTTTACCTAGAAAAGTCTAGTAGTTCTTTCTTAAAGTTAACCCACTCAAGTTAATATTTTTAACCAAGCTCAGAGTATTCCCGTGGCTTTTCCGAGTTCTCCAATCAAAATTTGAGTTAAATCGTTCCAAGGTTTCTTAGTTATGAATTATGATTCAAACAATAAAACAGGCAAACGGAGATCACACTACTTTATATAAATGTTTAGAAGATATGTACCTTATGTAACAATGCATCATTCTGCTTCTGAAGGTCTTCCAACTATAAAAGATAAATTATATGATCATTTAGTTTTTAGTTGTATGTATGATATAGTTTTTAGATTGTAACCTATATAATAAAGCTCTTCGCTCATATATATATATATATATATATAATATATATTGATATATTATTATATATTGATATATTATCATAGATTATTCCTTTGTGTTTGTTCATCTACCTGCTGCTGTTTCTCATGTTGATCATCTAGAAGCTGTTGAGCAGTTAGGTCTTGGGCTTTATCATGTTCAGATTCCACTATCTTAACAAGAACAGGGAGATAAAGTTAGTTTATACTATCCAGACTAGAACAGGATCGAAGAGAAAGTTAGTTTATACTATCTATAGACAAGGACAGGGAGATAAAGTTAGATACTATCTAGACAAGGACAGGGAGATAAAGTTAGTTTCTACTATCTAGACTAGGACAGGGAGATAAAGTTAGTTTAAACTATCTATGGACAACGACAGGGAGATAAAGTTAGTTTAAACTATCTATAGACAACGACAAGGAGATAAAGTTTATACATATATACAAGAACAGAGATATAAAATTAGTTTAAGTTATCTAGATATCCCGACAATGTAGGTATTGTACGCTGTAGAGGGAGATAAAGTTCAAATTTTTAAACAAACTCGTGTCAATATTACCATGTTTGTTAATGGAAGCAAAAATTAAACCATAACTATTTATTATAATATAGTAAATATATGAAAATTTAAAAAGCACCACCTCTCCCCTCCTGTGTCATATAAACCGAATAAATGCTAGTTAGTGATAAATCAATATTTATTTGAATTTTGTCATCTGTTTAGTGCAGTGCCGCTCTTAATTTCATTTATTATCTATATTCATTTGGCATGTTTATTCAGTCATCCATAAATAGAAGAAATTAGAATTCGATTCTTCTAATGGCTTGATATATTTTATCATATTGTTTTTTTTCCGTTAGGGGGGGGGACACAAAAAACATAGATCAACATGTTCTTGCTGTAATCAAAAAGTCTTTGCTTAATCGGTCATTTTAAAGTTATCAATCAAAGTGGATTGAACCTTAAATTTACTCAAATATATTTAAACAACATGGCCCAATAAAAGTGAAAAAACAGAATTAAAAAAAATCAATATTTCGGAAGTGAAAATTGGCCCAAAAATTAGGTTTATTTGCAATGAAAACAGGGCACATGAATAACCAGTAAAATTTAAACCTTTAATCTGTAGATTAGTTGATCTATTCTTGGATCTTTGGAGACTGATCTCGGCTCTGCTCTTGGATCTGCTCTCAGAGCTTCCTTGAGATTGAGAGCAAGCTCTCGATTATCCTCCTCTAGCTCCTAAAAAATTGAGTTGGTATAAAAATTTTTTTTTAAATCTAAAATTTATTCCGGCGTGGGATATTTGACAATACAATTACAATAGACATTTTTCAATTAAAAAGCATTTCAAAGTTTTATGTAGATATACACCTTCATGTTTTCTAAAATGCTTTCTTTTTCTTCCAATTCAGCCCTCACTCTGATTTCTAGCTCGCGTTTCTCATGCTAGAATAAAATGATTTTTTTTGTATAGTAATATATTTAAATCTGCAAGGCTTGGTAAAAGTAAGACGACATAAAAAATTTGTGAACAACTTGATTTATTAAAATACTTGATAGAAATAGGATATAATTATTTTTTTATTATTAATTTTTAATAAAACATTTTGGAAGTGAAAATTTCTCATTTATAATGTAACGACCTAAAACTTATTAAACATGACGATACCCAGGTTGAATTTTGTTGTCAACCTTGCAAGTTGCACAAATAGTTTCCAACGGATAAACTGACTAATTTTACAAAAAGAAAAAGATATATTTTGCTATGGAAACCATTAGTGAAAGAAAATTAAACAGGATCAAATAAATTCTGTACAGTCGCTTCTAAAATCTCATCCCTTGTTAACATAAAACCGTCTCAATTGCTTTGGGTAACACTGTACGGTGTACCTGGAGCTCTTTGGGTAACACTGTACGGTGTACCTGGAGCTCTTTGGGTATCACTGTACGGTGTACCTGGAGCTCGGTGATTTGTTTCTCATGTTTACTCCGAACTGTTCTAAGGTTCGTTTCACTATCTGTTAACCATCTCCAAACCTGATTACAAAATAGTTGTGAAAACTTTTGGATTTTTAATCTGTTTATCACGCGCTCAGTGAATTGCAAGTAAAATTGGAAACTTTTGTTTTCAACAATATATTATGTTCCTTAAATTTCTAATATTTAACGATTAATTTGCTCTTCTTATACTTCTCCGTAAACCAATAAAAGAGGAGCTACGAGGTTCAGAAATCGTACAAGTAATGTCGCAGTGTAACCTAGGTCGTTCAAAACCTTTCTTTGAATCATTTCCTGATTAACTTTTATTTCCTCGGAATTAAATTTATATTCTACATTTTCAAAAGTTCACGCTGTGGATATCGAGATCAGTCTATATGGCTAAGTGTGCAATCCAACCAATAGATACAGCCTCAGTTCGAACGGTAGGGATTAACTCTGACTCAAATGTCTGTTTTGAAAAAGGGGTAACAACCTATATATAGTCCACGCCTCCAGTAATAGAGCTGCAATTCCCATTCGCAGCGATACCTTTAAACCCTTTGTCAAAGCAAAAATTACTGAGATATACCATTGTACTTCTTTATGAGAAATATGTAATTTTTAATAGTGCGGATCTTTATACTACAGCCAATATTTGACATAATTTATCTATCTTTATTAACATGGATGATTTCTATATATATATAAATTAAATATATATATTACCTGAATTAACTTTGCTTGCTCAGATATTTCCTCCCAACGAATTCCTTCTGTTCTAAAAATAATATAATTTATATTTTTATGTATTTATATGTGTATATGATGATGTAGAGAACTGGAAATAGTAGAGTGTATAAATATTTTCTTTAAAATGTTCATTTTTATTTATTTTATAAATGTATTTATAAATGTTGCATAAATGTAGAGAAATGAAAATAGTAAAATGTATGAGTATTTTCTTATAAATATTCAATAATAATAATAATAATAATAATAATTATAATAATGATAATAATAATAAAACAAAGTATAGAAAGCAAAATTTTCATGCAACTACTAGATTTGCATGCAACAACTGAAATTGCGTGTTTAGCAATAAATTTGCAATAAATGGTTGCCTGCCACTCAAGCATTTGATTCCTAATAAATACAGTTTATAAAGTTTTCCATTTTTGTAAAGTTTATAAAACATACAACCATGTGTTTAGTTTCGATTTGAAATTAATCACGTTTTGGTCTATGAGAGTCAACAATCTTTAAACTGAGAAGGTTTTCCCTTCTTTTCCTGTCGAACGCATCCCACGACAATAAAAAATTTTAAAAAAAAGTTAAATTGGTAAAATTGGGATCGAAAGTCACAGTTTGCTGGAACAAGGACCGAACTGTTAAATCAGGGTTTATTAAATATTCCTCTCATATATTTCTTTTCAATGTAAGTTTTTACTCTATTCTCCATTCATCTTTTCTTACTTAATTCAGGAATTCTTTTCTCTCTCCCCCCCCCCCTCCGGTCTTTTTTCTCATGTGCTCCCTTCCATCTTTTTCCCCTCCATGTATCTCTAACTTTTTTTTCTTCCTTTTGGCACCTTCTATTTCCCTGTGCTTTCCTTCATCTCTTTCCCCCTTTTTTCTGTTCTAATTTCCTTTCCCTTTTGTTCCCCCTCTCCACCTTATGTAAGATCCGAACTCCAAATAAATTATTCACAACCTATCGATCCAACTAAAACTAACAAACACACATCATTCCATCAACTGTACTTCAGTCCTCACATTAATAAAACTGATAGGTCTTATGAAATCAGATCCATATATAATATAGCTTATTATTTTTATTCTTTTTACCATGATTCTCAAAAATTACAACCCATTTATTTTAAGGGAGATTGAGGTGAGGAGAGAGATGAAGATGAGAGGGGGGGAAACGACATCTTCATGTCGGTACAGGGGGATTATATTCGCCATTTGGATTATGCTAAAGGTTGTATTTCTAGTCTTACCCTGGGGAAATAAAAGGAAAGGAGGTAAAGGGAGAAACAGAACAGCAGAAGAAATAGAAAAAGAAAGAAATAAAGGGGTCGAAAGAGGAAAAGGAAAGGGAGGAAAGAAAAGAAGAAGATTAAAAGAAAGATAAGGGAAAGAAAGAAAGCAGTTAGAAGTATAGTGAAGGGGTAAAAGATAGAGAAGGGAAAAAGGATAGAGGAGGGGAGAAGGAAAACAAAGTGGCGAAGGAAAAAGAAGGAGAGAAAGAAAGATAAAGTGCGAAGGAGGAAGGAGAAGAGGGAAGAAGATTTGGAAAAACGAAAACCTGCTGAGGAGGAAGGGGTAGACAGGAGGAAGGGTAGACAGGAGGAAGGGGTAGACAGGAGGAGGGGTAGACAGGAGGAAGGGGTAGACAGGAGGAGGGGTAGACAGGAGGAAGGGGTAGACAGGAGGAGGGGTAGACAGGAGGAAGGGGTAGACAGGAGGAAGGGGTAGACAAGAGGAAGGTGAAGGAAGGAGGAAGGCGTAGACAGGAAGAAGGGGTGGACAGGAGGAAGGGGTAGACAGGAAGAAGGGGTGGACAGGAGAAAGGTGAAGGAAGGAGGAAGGGGTAGACAGGAAGAAGGTGAAAGAAGGAGGGGGGGGGGGAAGGAAGAAAGGAGGTTGGTTGGATGTTACTGGCTGGATTATATAGTAAGAGAAACATTTACACTTTGATTAGTTTGAATAGTTTTTGCCTTATATCTCCGATGTATTAAAGTATAAAAAGCTGATAGAACATTTAGAAATAACTGTTGGAAATATCAGGAATATATATGGAACAGTATATGGGGATAATCTTGAAATATCAGGAATATGGAACACTATTTGGGGATAATCTGGAAATATCAGGAATATGGAATAGTATATGGGGATAATCTGGAAATATCAGGAACATATATGGAACAGTATATGGGGATAATCTGGAAATATCAGGAATATGGAACACTATTTGGGGATAATCTGGAAATATCAGGAATATGGAACACTATTTGGGGATAATCTGGAAATATCAGGAACACATGGAACAGTATACAGGGATAATCTGGAAATATCAGGAATATGGAACAGTATATGGGGATAATCTGGAAATATCAGGAATATGGAACACTATTTGGGGATAATCTGGAAATATCAGGAATATGGAATAGTATATGGGGATAATCTGGAAATATCAGGAATATGGAACAGTATATAGGGATTATCCGGAAATATCAGAAACATATGTAACGGTATATAGGGATAATCTGGAAATATCAAGAACATATGGAACAGTATATAGGGATAATCCGGAAATATCAGGAACATATGGAACAGTATATAGGGATAATCTGGAAATATCAGGTACATATGGAACACTATACAAGGATAATCTGGAAATATCAGGAATATGGAACAGTAAACAGGGATAATCTGGAAATATCAGGAACACATGGAACAATATATCTAGAAATATCAGGAACATATGGAACAGTATATATGGATAATTTGGAAATATAGGAACACATGGAACAGTATACACTGTTCAGGCATAATCTGGAAATATCAGGAACACATGGAACAGTATACAGAGATAATTGGGAAATATCAGGAACACATGGAACAGTATACGGGGGTTTTTTATCAAAAAGGGAAATTCTTATAATTTTATGTGACATGTTTACTAGATCTGGATACCCAGCTTTTCCGGGGAATTTAGTTGTCCATATCTTAAGTCAACCAGAAAGACTTTGAACCCAATTCAACCAATCAAAATTTGAGACAAATCGGTTAATGGGTTCATGATCGGATTACAGAGATTGAACTCCTTTATGCATTGCAGGTGCAAATGATAAAAATGTATTCGAACTGTGTATGTGTACATGTATATATACATATACACATATACATACAATGCTGAAAAGTATGATAAACATGATTTATTTGAATTTACTCACACAATTGTTTGAATTTGTTAACATTATTTTGGTTAACTTTAAAACTTTAAAACTTTAAAGCTTTAAAACTTTAAAACTTTAAAACTTTAAAACTTTAAATTTTCATAGCTTTAAAACTTTAAAACTTTAAAACTTTAAAACTTTATAACTTTAAAACTTTGAATTTTTATAACTTTAAAACTTTAAGGATTTATAACTTTAAAACTTTGAATTTTTATAACTTTAAAACCTTAAATCTTAAATCTTTAAAACTTTAAAACTTTAAAACTTTAAAACTTTGAAACTTTAAAACTTAAAAACTTTAAAACTTTGAATCTTTAAAACTTGTTTCCTAAGTAAACCCTGATATTCAACCTTTAGACAAAATTTAAAATAAAAATCAATTAGTTTTGAATTATTTTTAATTTTAATTAATCAAATTAAATCTTCCAATTCTCCGAAATAGCCCTTCCTCACCGGAAAATATCCCTCCTCACCGGGAAACATCCCTCCCTCCTCAACCCTCCTCACCGGAAAATATCCCTCCCTCCTCAACCCTCCGGCCACGTCTATTTGATTAGTATCGGTTAAATATATCCTCTGTATACATATCTAATATATATATATGTATACATAAATCCAACAGCAGGAAATCTTATGTTTATTAGACACGCTTCTTTATATTCTGATTAGAATAACTTCATTTTTCAAATTATAAATCATTATAAATATGTTTTTAAATATGTTATTCTAGAAAAATATATATATTTGATTTTATCATTTGTTAAAAGCGTATTTCCAATTCTTCCAATTCCAGTTTAGTTAATTAAAGATTATATTCTATTATTTTGTTTCTATTCAGAAAGTTCATGACAAAACTAATAAAAAATAAAGGAACTAATAAAAATAATGTTTTGGGAGGTGAGGGTGGGGTTTAGTAAATTGGAATGAAATGAGAATTGTAAAAAAGAACTTTTAAAAAGTTTACAACAAATTATTTTTTATTTTAAATTTGACTAAATTTTAAAATTATTTTGAATAAATGTCGGAATGTTAGTCACGGTTCAGCTTGAGTCATGGAACATGCAACCTTAAAGTCTTTGAAATATCGTTTGTTTCTTAAATAATATGAATTCTTATCGTTATTTAATCATTCAGATTATAATCATTATTCAATATAAATCTGAACAGTTTATTATTTTAAATAGCACCTTACCTCTTACTCTCAAGTTCGACCTCTGTCCTCCTTTCTTGTTTCCCCTTCGAGGTTGAGACCAATACTGTCCTCTACACTTCTAGAGGCTCCAGCACAACCATTGGTTGGACAGGGGGTGTCAATTTTTCGTTTTGTTGATTTTAAGTAAAATATTTCTGTCAGGTAAAATTTAAAATAATTTCGATAATTGCAGGAAAAATTTACGATTATTCACCAAATTTAAATCTTCAAATTAAATCTACCTCCCCCCCCCCACCTCCCCTACCAACACCGCCTTGAACTAATGTGGACTGTATAGCCTCCATGTTTCCTCAAAGATCTTAATAAATTCAACTATAAAGGAAGAAGAGTCTTACAATAGACAGATTAAACGTTGAGCAAGTCATATCTTGACAACCCCTCCCTACCCTAACCTAGCCCGACCTACCTTACCCCAGCCCGACCTACCCTACCCTAGCCCGACCTACCCTACCCCAGACCAACCTACCCTACCCCAGCCCGACCTACCCTACCCTAGCCCGACCTACCTTACCCCAGACCAACCTACCCTACCCCAGCCCGACCTACCCTACCCTAGCCCGACCTACCCTACCACAGCTCGACCTACCCACCACCTGCCCGACCTGCCCGACCCAACGTACCCTTCCCTTCCCTTAACTTCCATTCCCAACCCCATCCTACCCCACCGTACCCTTCCCTACCCTATTCTACCTTTCCCTTCCCTACCCTACCCAAGTCTACCTTACCGTACCAATTCCATTCCTGACATTCCCTTTCTTTCCTTTCTCTTCCCTTCCCTTACTTTCTTACACACCATGCAGTAGCTAGGGGGTACAGGGGCACGTGCCCCCTTTTTTTCTCCCGAAGAAAATGTGCGCTTTTAGAAATAAATTACATGGGAATTTTAATTTCTATCCTGTCTTGGAAAATGATAGGGTTTATATTAAATTATTTTTGAAGTTAATCCATTTTACTTCTTTTATTAGATTAATGTTCTATAACGAACCATCGTACAGCATAAAGTAACATGGAGACAAGTTTAAATTAACTACAAAATATGACCAGGTTTAGGAGAAGCTGTTTTTATTTTTCCTCAAGCTTCAGGAGAGTTTTTTTTCGAATTTTAAATTTGAGAAAACTGAATATTTTCATACTCGAGATTTTTTAAATATTTACAGGAATTTGTATCATTTACTTTCCCTGAATTAAAAATAAGTATTGGCTATTCGTGATTCAAACATTTTTGTAATATTTCGTTTATTTATTATAGTTTAACTCAAATCTCTATATATATCTCCATTTTTTTATGCAAATAATATCTCCTCAATTATTGAATAGGAATTAAGGGAAGGAAAACAGGGAAAATATCTATCTTAATAACCTATAATGTGTGATAAGTTGAAAATCTAGTTGTTTCTACATTCATTAATTTTTATCCTTATTGAGTTTTTCAGGTCAAAATTATTTTTGACTGCGGCCCGTCCCTTTATTATCTATTTATTCTATTTTGTCCCCCCCCCCTTTACAAATTTTTAGCTACGGGCCTGTACTATACACAGCCCCAGCCTTGTACCCTTCCATTCCGTACCATACCTGTCTTTTCCCTTCCCTGACCTTCTTTACCCTCCTTCACCTTCTCTTTCCCTTTCCTATCATTATTTTTCCTTCACTTCCTTTCTTTACCCTGTCCCACTACTTCCTATTCTTCATACTCTTTCCTTTCTACCTTTCCACTTCGTTCCTTTCTACCTTTCCCTACTCTTCCTTCCCTTTTTCTTCCCTTCCCTTAACCTTTCCCTGTCTCCAAATACATATCTGCGAGATATCCCTGATTGTCCTTCTCCTAAATTCCATGCTTTGACCAACATACCTTCTCTACTTTTAGTGCCTAGTAGTATAGTACCCATATCTGGTTAAACCTAACCTAACCAATCAGAGACCAGGATATAATCTGGTGAAGCCGGGATCCTCCAATGGGAGTCTTGATCAGATCACGTGATCTCGAAGTGTGTCTAGAATTCCCATGGGATAAAAGGGAACCAACTAACCCTCCTGCACCATCCATATATCAGGAGATAGATAGATAGATAGATAGATATTTAGAAAATAAAAAAACAAGTTTAGAGTAGTATGTCTAATCATTTGTAGACATATTCATTATATACTGCTCTAGACCTATATCTATACTGCTCTAGACTAGTGTTAATACTGCTCTAGACCTATATCTATACTGCTCTAGACTAGTGTATACTGCTCTAGACCTATATCTATACTGCTCTAGACTAGTGTTAATACTGCTCTAGACCTATATCTATACTGCTCTAGACTAGTGTCTATACTGCTCTAGACTAGTGCCAATAGTGCTCTAGACTATATATCTATACTGCTCTAGACTATATATCTATACTGCTCTAGACTATATATCTCTACTGCTCTAGACTATATATCTATACTGCTCTAGACATGGTGTCTATACTGCTTTAGACTATATGTCTATACTGCTCTAGACTAGTGTCTATACTGCTCTAGACTGGTGTCAATACTGCTCTAGACTGGTGTCAATACTGCTCTAGACTAGTGTCTATACTGCTCTAGACTGGTGTCAATACTGCTCTAAACTAAATATCAATACTGCTCTAGACATGGTGTCTATACTGCTTTAGACTATATGTTTATACTGCTCTAGACTATATGTATATTCTGCTCTAGGCTAATATATATATACTGCTCTAGACTAGAATTTATACTGCTCAAGACTATTGACTATATATTGCTCTTGACTATGTATTGCTATTTACTCAATACTGCTTTAGACTTTATATTGCTCTATACTATATAATTGCTCTTGGCTATATATTGCTCTGGACTATATACTATGCTTCAGACTATATACTGCTTGAGACTTTATATTTCTCTAGACTATATATTGCTCTTGGCTATATATTGCTCTTGGCTATATATTGCTTGTCACTATATACTATGCTTCAGACTATATACTGCTCTAGACTATATATTGCTCTAGACAATATACTGCCCTAGACTATGTATTGCTCTGAATATATACTGCTCTAGACAATATATTGCTCTAGAATATATACTGCTCTAGAACATATTCTGCTCTAGACTATATATTTCTCTAGACTATATATTGCTTAGTAAAGATTTCACATCATTTATTTAATCCCAGGATATATCCTCTCCTCTCCTTCCTTCAGTCCCTTACACCGGTCCTATACTACCATGGGAACTATATCTATCTATCTATCTATCTATCAAGCTAGCTAGCTAGTTCTATCTATTCCTTTATCTATCTATTTATCTATCTATCTATCTATCTATATATCTAGTTATCTATTTATCTTTCTATCTATCTATCTATCTATCTATATATATATATATATATATCTATCTAGCTACCTATCTAGCTATATAGCTATCTATCTATCTATATATCTATATTTATATCTATCTATCTATCTATCAAAAGACTTGACCGGAACTAGAGACTAAACTTGGACTTAGAGACTAGACCTTTACCATGAGACTCGACTTCTAAGTAGATACTGGACTTTGACCTATGAGACTAGTTTGGGACCTAGCCACTTAATTTTCTGAATATTATAGTGGATAATGTTATTCAATTAAAAAATATCTTAATACTTTCTCTGCAAAAAAAAACTCTTCAATAAATTAATTTTTAAACTGGTACATTACTTAAAACCATTTTCCATCTCTCATTGGAATTTGCTTCCTCAGATTTATCTGACATTTTACCAGCTTCTGAAGAAGTAGCGTCATATTTACCAGTTTTTAAAGGAAAAGCTGCAGCTTTAATATGAGTAATAGCATCTGTACCGGCTTTAACAGGAGTTAAAGCATCTTTAGCAGCTTCTAGAGGAGTTGCAGCATCTTTACCAGCTTTTACAGGAGTAGCAGCATCTTCACCAGCTTTAACAGGAGTAGAAGAATTTTTACTAGCATTTAAAGGAGTAGCAGCATCTTTATCAGATTTTACATGAGAAGTAGCATCTTTACCAGTTTTAACAGAAGTGTCAGCATCTTTACCAATTTCTAGAGGAGTAACAGCATCTTTAATGACTTCTAGAGAAGCAGCAGCATCTTTACCAGCTTTTACAGGAGTAGTAGTAGTATCATTACCAGCTTCTACATGTTTGCCAGCATCTTTACCAGCTTCTAGATGTGTAACGGCATCTTTACCAGCTTTAAGAGGAGTAACAGCATCTTTACCAACTTCTAGAGGAGTCTTAGCATCTTTACTACCTTCTACTGAAGTAGCAGTATCTTTACCAGCAGACGTAACATATCTTGTAATATTTGTTACAGAATGAGCTTCATCCGTATTATTTTTTACTAAATTATCATTGGTATTATTAGCTTTTTTTGGATTATTATCATCTGTTTTAGCTGTTACAGGATTAGCAACTTCTGTGTTAGCTGCTGCAGGAGAATCAACTTCCATATTAAATGTTACAGGATTAGCATATTCTGTATTAACTGCTGTTGAAGAATCAACATTTGTATTATCTGTTACAGGATTAGTATTTTCTGTTTTAACTGCTACTGGAGATGCAACTTCTGTATTAGTGTCTTCTTTGCAAACTGCTGCTGGAGAACCAACATCTGTTACAGGATTTGTGTTGTCTGTTTTAACTACAGCTGGAGAATCAGCTTCTGTATGAGCTGTTACAGGATTAGCATTTTCTGTGTTAACTGGAGAAGCAACTTCCATATTAGTGTCTTTGTTAACTGCTGCTGGAGAATCAACATCTGTATGAGCTGTTGCAGGATTAGTGTCTTCCATGTTAAATGCTGCTGGAGTAGCAACTTTTGCATAAGCCGTTACAGGACTAGCGTCTTCTGTACAAACTGTTGCAGGAGAATCAACTTCTGTATTAGATTTGCCACTATCATCTTCTTCTGTATTATTTCCTACAGGAATACCATCTTCTGTTTTAGATGATAGATAATTAACCTTTTCTGTAATAGTTGCCTCAAGATAAGTTTCTTCTTGCATGCTTTCATCATTATTGAATATTACAAAATTTGCTTCTGAGGTTTCAGCTGGTTCTGAAATATTTGCAATAGTGGCTTCAAGATAAGTTTCTTCCTCAATATTATCCTCAGGATTTACTGTTTTTAGATCAGCTTCCATAGACCCAACCATATCAGATGCCTCTGCATTCTTTGTGGTAGTGACAGAAAAGGCTGCAGCTGCAGCTTTTTTGTTTATATTATCTGCTTCAGCATTATTTTCATTATTATTGGTGACAGAAAATGCTTCATCTGTAGCTGTTACTTTTTTAGCTGCTTTTCTGTAATTTTCTTCAATTTTAGTTTTTTCTAATGGTTTGCTTCTACTAGAGTTAAAGATTGCGCCTTCTTCTCCTAGAGTTGCTTCAAGGTATGTCTCTTCTTGTAAACTTGTACTAGGATTTTTTGTAAGAATATAATCTGCATTGAAGTCATCTGCTTCAGTAAGAGCTGTTCTGCTATCTACTACTTTTGTGTCAATTGTTTCAATTTCAGTTTTTTCCAGTGGTTTACCCATGCTAGAATTTACTATAGCTGGTTCTTTTTCCAGTGTTGCTTCAAGATAAGTCTCTTTCTGCATGTTTTTCCTGGAAAAATCAGCTTCTTTAGAACCAGCTGATCCATTGTTTATTGTTGCTTGTGTAAAATTTGTTCCATTATTAGCCTCTTCCAGTGGTTTTAAAATAACTTTTTCTTCTGCAAGAGTTACTTCAAGAAAAGTGTTTTGGTTTATATCTTCCCTTGGATTCACTGTAAGAAAATCAGCTGATTTGAAACCAGTTTTAGCTGCTTCTGTATTGTGTGTATCATTATGAGTGACTGCCTCAGGCCTCTCTGTAACAGAAACAGTTACTTCAGTATAGCTTGTCTCTATATTCATTTCTTCTAACGGCTCCACTACACTAGAATTTAATCTGATAGAAGTAGGCTCATCTTCAGCTTCTTCTGTTTTATGTGCTTCTGTAACATTTGCTTCAATGTTAGTTTCTTCAAATGGGTCCACTATGCTAGGGTTTACTATGATAGAAATAGGCAAATTCTTAGCTTCTTCAGTTTTAGGTGATTTTGTATCATTTCTTTTGGTGATTGATTCTTTTAATGGTTCCACTGCACTGGGATTTGCTTTGATAGAAATATTTGCATCTGTCACTTCTTTAGTTTTAACTCCTTCTGTATCATTTCTTTTAATGCTTGTTCCTTCTCCAAATGGTTCCATTATGCTAGGATTCATTATGAAAGAAATAGGCACATTTTTAGCTTCTTCAGTTTTAGCTACTTCTGTATCATTTCTATCATTAGCAGTTTCTTTTAATGGGGTTTCTGCACTAGTATTCAAAATGACAGAGACAGCTACATCTTCATTTGCTTTAGTTTCATCATCTTCTGTATTTTTTGTTTGAATATTAGTTTCTTTTGGTTTCATGCCACTAGGATTTATTAAAACAGAAATAGCTCCACTTGCACTTTCTCCATTTGTTGTTGATTCTATTTCATTTGTTGAAGAACAAGATTCTTTCAACGAATTATCTGCACCTGTATTTACTACAACAGACAGAGCAACATTTGTAGCTTCTCCGGGTTTTGATGCTTCAGTAGCTTTGACTTTGCGTTCAGCTTCTTCTAATGGTTCAACTGTATCAGAGTTCACAAGAACAGAAATGGCTGCATTTTCTTTTGCACTTTCTGCATCTTTCTTGACAATTAAACACAGGGTTTTAAGCAAAAATTATTAAAAATATATTTTCAAATTGATTTAAAGGAATTTACTTACTTGCTACTGTTAGCAACACAATGAGGATACATATTGGATAATAATTCTTCATTCTGAACAAAATAATATTTAAAACTTTTAGAGAAGCCATTTGGCTTGTTTTCCTGAAACCAAATTTAATGAATTTGAGCAGGGTAGCTGAACTACCTAACTTATCTAGAATCATTGATTCAAAGTTAAAGATTCATTTAGTATATGAGGCGATGGTTCAGGATTTGAACCGGGTTTAGGTACTTCAGCAACCTTTCCATTTCATAAAATTCAGTCCTTGGCTTCTCATATTTTTGATCATCTTACTAGCTTCCAGAGTCCAAAATAAAAGAATGGTCAAGTTTTAAGTTGTAGCTAAGCAGTTCTGTAAAATTTAATCCCAACTGTAAGGGTTAAGTGTCAGCACTGCTACATTATTGGAAGCCATTCCATTTGCCAGAGAATAATAATTGATTGAGAAAAATTCTTTCGCGATAAAAAGATATTTATTTGTTATTCAATCTTTGCGATGTACACTAATCATGTATTTATATAATTCCTTGAATCTTATTCTTTTAATAAATAATTCACCTTCAGTAGATTGCATTTAATTAAAATGAACTAATGAAAATTGTAAATCTCTCATACAAAATTAAATAATTAGTCTTTGCATAGAATGTGAATTACTAGAAAAATAAGATGGTTAAAACATTTTTCGAGAAAAAGAAATTTCGACAAATGTTTATTCTGAGTCCAATGTAAACCATGGATGAATTATTGAATATTTAAATATTTTAATATTTTATCTGATTTGTTGAAAGAATGCTAAATTGTTTTATCTTGATCAATGGAGTTTGTAATAACTAATTAGTTTTACTGCTAATTACCGAATTTTGCGGAAATGATAAATTCCTGATGCTTTGCAGCAGATCTAATCTTTATAAAGGGACTGTACGCTTAATTTTAAATTACCTTCCATTAAAAGAGGTGTATCCCCGATTCCCAACAGTATACCCTTTAAATCTTTGACTGTCAAAGGATAACAGACATTTCCTGATTTACTACAGGAACTAGAAGTGGCAGATTATTAATATTAACATTTCAAATTTCTCAAAAACGTCGGTCAACCGCGTTAAGTTGAAACAGTACACTAGAAAATAATCCAATTTTCCCACTTTTTACATATTATTAAAGATTAGATCTGCTGCAAAGCATCATGAATTTATTACCCTGACCTGGACTAGTTTTATCAGAGGAAGTTGCTAAAATATAGCGGAAGGGGCAGGGGACAGAGAACATGAGAGGACAGGGCTAAAACAGTCCTCAAATAAAAATTTCTTTAAAAAGAAAAAACCTAAATTTAAACTCTTCCATAGGCAGTTTAAGGGGAAGGCAGTCCATTATCCCCCCCTTAACAAAATTAGGGGGGTGTACCCCCCCCCTGGATTTTCACAAAGTTACTTTTAAACCTTGGAAGAATGGCGATGCATCCAAAGAGGCTTGCCTCAATTCCGGACATCAGTGTTTTGAAAATAAACAAAGAAACTATTTGCAAACGCAGACTCCTGCAAGACAAATTAGCATGATGTTAGAGGCATTATTTACTAAAAGATTAATAAGAATAGCAGGAGATAAAAAATAATTCTCCCTTCATTAAAATAATATTATTAATACATTTTCCTACCCTGAACTATAAGTTGATCCTGGCAAATATATTTTTTTAAATCAAAGTTTGAGCAATGTTTAACGCTTTAGGAGTTTTAACTATAAGGAGTCTAAAAGCTGTATTATACAGGTATTTTTTACTCTTTGTATGATGGAGGGGGGGGGGGTCGTGGTCGGAAGGAGGGATATTGTGTAGTGAGGGGAGGCTGGTTCATGTGTGAGGGGGGATATATTGTCTATATCTGAAGTTGGGTTGATTAGTATTAAATTAATTATCTAATCAGTGAATCGTTTAATTAGAAACAAAAACAACTAAATTGTCCAAATTTGAGGCACGTGATTAAAAAGTTAGTTTCTGAGTTAGATTTTCAGGCGAGGGGGGGGGGGGTATTAGAGACCACTTCAACCTCTTAAACTGGGACTGAATTTAATAGATTTAAGCTAGGTCACTAAACTAACTACCGCCGGTTCAAATCCTCATGAATCATTAACTTTTAATCCGTGATTCAAAATTTGAATCGGCTCATGCAGGTTGAGTTTAAAAAAATGAAAACATAACGTTTAAACCAAAACTTTGGAAACATCGATAGAATTAATAAAATGTCCTTTTGACAATTTTTCAATGGGTTTAATATTTATGCTATCTTATCTAAATCACAGTAATTGTAAAAATAACGCTGGGAAATATGCGGAACAGTTTTAAAAAACTCAATATAATTATTCAATTAAAAACCAAATATCTTCTGCATTACATAATCGGTAGGTTTATATAAAAAACGACATTTTATGAATTCTTTCGTTATCTCTTTAGTTCTGCGTTTAACTGTATTTTTAAAATCACTAAAGAGAACTAGAGTATAACTAACACATGATTTACTTTGGGACGTTTTTTTTAAATCTTAATCAGTATTTGGAACTTTTTTGAGGCAATTTTTGTTTTAAAAAAACCTGCAAGGATTCTAGAATTTTGTCAAGTTTTGAGGTAAAAAATGTGAAGTTCCGCAAAATATGACAAATTGTGCATTTGCACGTTTAACATATCAATTATTTAATTACATTTAAAATGTATTTTTTTAATTGTTTAGTTTTTAACTTCAAGTGACCCTCTATGCAAAGATTGCAATGCCCGATTCACAACGGTACCATTAAAACCTTTAGTATGATCAAGTATGAAATATATAACCATTTTAAAAACTTTGAAAACTGATTCTTTTCAAATTGCATGGTTTCTCTAAAAAATACATCTGCGAAAATTTTACTGCTGGAGAACGCAGAGAAATTATCATAAGTAAACACTTTTTAACCTAGAAAATGCCAATACATAATGATCAGTTAAAGGTTTAATGGGAACCGTGAATCAGACATTGCAATTTTACTGTTACAATTCTTTTAATGGTCTCAGACTGTCACGTTTTCAAAAGCTAAACAGTTTTTTTCCCAAACAAATATAGGGCTTGTGAACATTCTGTTGACGAATGTCAACTTTTAATAATTAACGGAGATTCCGATAACGAACTCTAGTTAACGAACGGCAAAATCCGTTAATTTTGAAATTGTTAACGATTGGAAAGGAAAAAGAACCGGAAAATGAAAAAGAAGAAATGTATGTGTTTTAAAATAACGGCGACTTTAGTTAATTGATCTGGCTAAAAATAGCATGAAACTTTTTTATGTTTGCAAGCACCGTCTTCAAATTTCCCCGCTTTTGCATGAAATAATCGTTGACAGCTCATTAACGGCTGACGCCATTTTACAACGTTAATATTAATAAAACTGAGATCATTAACCAACGGTAACTTTAAAGAAAGAACGAAATATGCTGTTACTTGTAGTTAAAGATTTAGAGCCACGTGGCATAAATTTAAACTGCGGCTCAAATATGGTTGGTTCCACTTCAAATCGTGTTCAATTGAAACCGGGTTTTCAGGGATTTGAGACACAGCACAAATTTATCAAATTCGGTCTCAGGAGGGTTTAATCAGTGATTTAAATTTGAACCGGCGCAGCGGCGGAAGGCGGTATGCTGAACCCCTCCTTTAAGAAGGAAACTGTTTAATGATCCGAATGATATCGTGAAATAAAAGATTTCATGATATATCTCGTGCTGAATAACTTTTTAAGATTTTTAGTTTCACTACGTTTCGTTCAATTTATTAAGTACTTTCTGCATGGACGAATTTTGCAATTACGCACATGCTTGATTTAATGGAGATAGCTTACCCGGAAAATTTAAAATAATTATTTTCGGCAAAAGGAATTGAGTCTTTAGAACAAAATCAAATATTTAAACTTCAATATCTTTAGAATTCGATGTTGTAAACCTTTGATATTTCAAACTCAGATTATTTGATCTAACAGAATTCATAGTTTGAAATATCTAAGGTCTGAAACATTTGGTTCCAAAGATAAAGTGATTAGAAAATCAGAGTTTGTGGCAAAGACTCAATTCCTTTGCAAAAACATGTCTAATGAATTTGATTCTTATGTATTGTCATATGTTATCTGAGCACGGAGTTTTTGTGTTGGATACCTATAATCCTGATCCTTTGTATTGAATACCTATAATCCTGATCCTTTGTATTGGATACCTATAATCCTGATCCTTTGTGTTAGATACCTATAATCCCGATCCTTTGAGTTGGATACCTATAATCCCGATCTTTGAGTTGGATACCTATAATCCCGATCCTTTGAGTTGGATACCTATAATCCCGATCTTTGAGTTGGATACCTATAATCCCGATCCTTTGTTTTGGATACCCATAATCCCGATCCTTTGTGTTGTATATCCATAATCCTGATCCTTTGTGTTGTATACCCATAATCCGATCCTTTATGTTAAATTCCCATAATCCCGATCCTTTTTGGTTGGATACCCATAATCCCAATCCTTTCTGTTGAAAACCCATAATCCCGATTGCTTGATCTCGATATCTACAATTTCTCTTTTCTTTCATTAATTGAATGCAAAATTCCCTTGCTTCTGATTGGCTGTTTGTTTTACACAGACAACACTCTTTATGAGATATCGGAAACGGAAAAGAAAAAACCATTTTTTCAAATTTTTCATTCCACTGTCGAACCCAGGAAACCCCAAACGCGACTGTATCAAAAAGTACCAATTAACTGTCATCTCTATGCGATAACAAAATCATGCCACATTGTAACACTAAAATCTATTTGTATAAAGTTGTAATCTTTGTTTGTCTGTTTGTTTTCCGATCATAACTCAGAAACCCCTGGACAAATTTTCCTCAAACGTTGATTGGGGAACTCGGGAGAACCACGGGAATGTTCTTAGTTTGATTTTGTTCAGTTTGTCGACTTTAGAAGCGAAAAGTTAGTTTCCCGGTAAAAATCGACCAAGTGCGGGTAGGTGGCGGGAGTATCTATGAGTACCCTGGGCAGCGCTGGGTTC